GAAAGGGCACTCTGCCAAGGGATAATCTTGCTGATGGAGAAGGGTCTTCTAGGTGGGTTGTGGACGGGTAAACATTTCTGCCTGGGAGAGGGGGCACCACACCTACTAATGGAGTGGGGGGCAATTAGTTGGTACAACAGGGGGTGCGACAAGGTGATGGGGGTTAAGGTTTAGGGTAGATTTAAGCATTTGAGCTATTTACATACATTGGAATACAAAAAAGCTATCCTATGCCTAGGTCCTTTTTAATTACACTATGACATTTTAGTTTTCGCATTAGCTATATCAATGCGAGAAAGAAAATATACCAGGAGCGAAAGGGGTCGAAAACTATGCAATATTGTAATAAGGTTAGCGAATTTGATGGCCTAATCAAGTGGCTGGTGTACTGATACCTTCGGAATCCATAGCGAAAAATATCTCGATCTTTATGCAGCAAAAATCAGGAACCAGAGTGATCGTATTTCTTGGCGTAAACGCTTCGTTGATGGGATCACACCTTCCGTATCCCCTGAAAACAACTACATCTTAAAAATCTGCAACAGTCTGGCCTTCGCACTTCGCCCCAACCAGACCGGAAGTCAAAAATAAGCAAATTCCCGGTGCCAGGTGAGGGAGACGGATAAAAGATCGCGAAGACGAGCCAGCATAGGATAATCGTGGGCCACCCAAATACCCGGTTCTGCCCCCCCCCCCCCGCACACACAATCCTAAACGAGATGAGCCCTTAGACCAGGCTGGGACACCTGTTGGTATTTATGACCCAGCCGGGGGAGGACCTTATTCTGCATAGAGCCCACCCCCTTCGAAGAGGATCGTCCACGTATAATACCCACGATGCCGACAAGCCACCTATTACCTCCAGGCCGTCTCGTGCCCCATTCTAATGGCCAAAGCACCACTACCCACCACCACCACCTCTGCGATTAGAAGCCGTATGAAAAGGGGTGAAACCGTGAAGTCTTCGAGAATTGGGAGTCTAGGTAGGGGGCGGAAGAAATTGTGGGCTTCTCTATGAGTTATGGTTCTATGCGGGTCTGAAAACAACGAAGATACAAGTTTTAGAGAAGCCTCTCGAAGCGAAAAAAAACATTAAAGGGATCAGGAAGGCTCGTGTAGATCAGCTCTCATCGATTTTCGCAACTAGGCGACCGGAAACGCAATGCTAAAAAATTGGGAGAGATCGGGCCTAGGCGAGAGGGAGCTGAGACAGTTTATGTAAATCTAGAAACTAAAACCCGTTAAATGCTAATATATACCATTTAATGTAATGTATACATTTTAAAACGTTTAAATAAATTTTTATGGACCTGAAACGAATAAGTTAATGACTTCTCATATGAGTTAGGGGCAGAAATGACCAAGTCACACGCTATGAAAAGACTTTACGGCACAAAATTTTGAGAAGTTCTAATCTATATATTTTTATAGAATCCTAGCTTGCTTCTTTTAAACGAAACAAATTCTGAGGTTCACTTATGAGGCATGGCAAGCTGTAAAACCTGGTGAAATCTGTTAAAATCCTTGGAATAGATACGTTTTGGATACACATATTCTTTTTAGGTTGAGATCTGGTTCCTTCACCCTAAGCCCTCAAAGATCAAATCGTATCGTTGACGAAACATTCGCAAACGGGAGGATTCAGTTCCTTTTGAATTTTTGATGAGTGAGAATTTGCCGCCCCCGTTTCTGTACCATCCCAAACACGGAAGCTTTTTGCCATTCGCGCTCGGCAGGTCCTTGGCATTTGCTTTTCGCATGCCTGAAATCCAACTCAAAGTATAGTTAAATATAAATATAAGTAGATCAATAAACCATATTTCGAAATCGTGCTATTTTGCATTTCTTGGAGCCCCCCCACCCACCACCTCCTCCAAATCGCGTTAACCTAAACCAGTCACCGAGGTTAATTTTGAGCGCGCCACCTTCGTGAGGATAGGGTCGATCGAGAGCAGATAGTTTGTGGCAACACCAATGACTGCATGAACAAGAAGCACAAGCTAGAAACACCGGAATATCCCATTAGCAAACCAGATCCCCCAACCCCTACCTGCACCGCCCCCAATTCCCGGGGATCCAGATTTTACCTACCGACCCTTCCCGTTAACTTTTGATCCAATTAGGCTGGCCGAAAAACAAACACAATCGGCGGTATGTGCTATTGGATGGTAACCGGGCGTTCCCTCGATTCCTAAAAATAGGAAGGTCATCACGGACATTCTGTATAAGATAAACTGTGGTGATGGCGCTATGATGGGTGGGGATATCCCTTTCAAGATACCTTGTTGGGGCTGAATGTTTGGATGGTCGGCGAAAGACAGGTTCGAATGTCCTTTTGGATAACCGGGACGATCAACGGGTTTGGCTAAAGTTTAGTGCGGTATTTTGGTTTGATGTGATACTTTTCGATCTGTTTTGGTTCTAGATTATCATTATTGGCCTTAAAGTTCGAATGTCGTGTACAAATTATTTTTCTATCTATTATTTATGGTTATAAATAAAATCTTGAAAGCTCGAATGCACTTATCGTAAAACTCTTACTATTCCGATACCATAGAATACGAGCAATTCTAGTGCTTTTTAGTTTTGAGTTCTGCTTTGGATTCATGCATAAAATACTTTCAACACTTCTCTCTGCCACTTTATTTTACTATAAAACCACAATGCTCCTTTAAGAACAAAAAAAGTCACGTCTGCAAACCTAAGATAACATGCGAAAAATTTGAGAATTTAATTGAACTCCTTATTGGCTTAATCTGATGGCAATCCAAAAAATTCTAATATGTTTTTTTAGTTTTCATTTCTTCTTAGAGTGACTATATTTTTCTGTCTATGAACTATACTATCAAAGCTACATTGGCCCTCTAAGGATACTATAAAGCACATTCTCGCGTCCCCAACCTTAATATAGAATCCAAAAAGTCCTTGTCTCACCTTGATATGCATTATTCGTTGAGTACAGTCTGCCCGGTAACCAGGCGAGGAACTCATTCAGTCCCCCCCGCATTGCCGGTTGTCAATGATAACGAATTGCCCTATAACTCCTTTTCTCTGGAAGAAAAAAAGGAAGAAACACCACTTCCTCTCCCCCTCGCCAGCCTATTGATTATGCCCATCACATGCCGGCAGCGCTCTCGATCTCAGTGAAATTACAATTACACAACTGTGATCGGATCGGAATCCCGGCCGGGCCTGGGTACTCTCAATCCACTTTTCATTCGGCTATAGAAAAATGGGGCTAAAATTTTTTTAATAAGCTCTGATCTGTGTGTTCCGATTCTAATTCCGCATTTTTTTCGGGAAGCCCATAACCCTGCCGAGTCCAGATTCGTCGAGCGACGGTTTCCCCGATAAGAATCGTGACTTGTTCCCATTGGGAAAACAAGAGGGAAGGCAGCTTGTCCTCTGCTGACCACTAAATCTCTTTGCTATTTGCTTAATGCGTTAATTACATATTAATTAGTATATTAATTCCTAGTTCCGGGTGCTGATTTTTAGAGAAACCGAAGATTTAATAGTGAAAATATGGCTTCTGAAAACCAAATAAGAATTGCGCTTTTGTTACACATCTAATAAATGTACAAAAAATTTTTAAGTGCTTACGCCTGTTGACATATGATTGGCGTATTAACGGGCGTTTCAAGAATAACACGCAGTATAAGTGACTTCATGCCTTTGTTGACAGGTACTAATGATCGTGGAGACCAAAACTAACCTCAAAGCTCCAAAATTCCTTAATTTTTGCAATCATTGACCAGCAATTGCCGAGTGGGAAGTGCTGTTTTTGAAAGATGATGCATCATTGGGGTGGGAGGACACTGATCGTCTCATATGTTTGCACACTTCCTACGCTCCCGTGGGGCGATTAACATTGTCGAACCGTTCGTTCTTGGGTATAAAAGGCCCTAGCAGAATCTGTCGTGACCAGGAAAAGACACTGATAGTTCCCTTGACCTCACGAAATTAAAGCCGCACCCCACGGTCTCTTTGATTAGCCTCAAAATGATATATTGTCGATTGACTCATCTGCCACTCCCTGTTTATCGCTGTTTTCCTATTACTTTTCGCATTCCCAAATTTTCCGCATGCGCCTATAGAAGTCAAAGGATTTGGCGGGTCAGGGTGATAACAGGGCGCTATAAAATGCCCTTGCCGGCTTTAATTCTATGAATTTTCAGTGCTGAATTTCCAGTTTGCCTTTATATTTCCTTGATTGGTCGTAATTCTAATTGGGCAAACGCTCTCTTTCAAAGCTCATTTGTTTTCCCAAAACATCTCCATTCGAGGTAACATACCATGTAAATTTAGCCAACCCACCCCAAAAAGTGAGTCATGCCCCCGATTTTCCATTTCCGAGAAACCCACCCCAACGCGCGCCCCCCATATATGAAGGCACCCTTTCCGCTGGCATCCGGTTGATAGCGGGTCTCGATTTTTGTAGAAAGGAATCGACCTTGAAAGAAGATTTAGACCAAACTGCTGCCTGGCATCGCTCCTCCCAATTACCTCTCACTTCTCTCCAGGAAGCTTTCTATCAATTGCCGGAAAATTTTGGGACGGCCAACTGTTTTAATTGCTTTTTCAAACTTTCTATAATAGTGATTTCAATTATTTTTTTACGTCTTCTAATTAATTTCTGAAATTTTATACTATGTATTATTTCCTTGCTTTCCAGGCCAATTTTGTAGCCCGGCTCACATTAACGTACATCCTCCCCTAAATCAAATATAGCCAATTTAACCAGTCTGCCCACCCCCTCCCCCAAAAATGATTATCTATCGACCGTCCTGACTTGCCATTCCTTCACAAAAAAAAGCGAAAAAGAGAGAAAACAGTTTCTCATTTCCTGTCCCCCCCGCACCCGCGAATTTTGATTCCCCCAGTCACTTTTCTGGATTATCATGTTTTCGACGTGTGAAAGCAATCAAGCTATTGACCTTGATTTTCTTTAGAAAATAGAGCCGATACGGGAAGAAACCGGGCAGGACCTCCGAAAGAGGATGGTCCTGCCTGAGGCTCTTGAAGAGAAATTAAAGGTATGTACCACTAAATGTAATAGAGCAGCATATCCGCTTCCTTACCCCCACCATCATATCAAGCATTTTCTGTGGTGTTTAGGATGCCACGGACAGACCAGTGCCGCTATCACCGAATAGAGTGCGGTTCTCTAACTCTTGTGAAGCTCTCTATGAGGAGAATGCAAATGAGCTTGAAGTGAGTGCTGACAGAACGTAGTTTGGTTAATGTTGTTGCTTGTACGCGGTGTTTAGAATTAAGAAAATGGCGATCACTGTATATGAAGGTTTTAGAAAATCACGAATTCATATTTTAGGGCTTTAAACCCAAGTTTAAAGTATTTTTAGGCTGAAAGGGAATACCTCGAAGAGCACAAGAAAATTGAAGAAAAAGAAGAAAAGGAAGAGGAAGATAAAGAAGCTTCCATGAGAGATGTAAACCTAAACGATGAAAAACCCGTAAACTATCACCTCGAAATGCCCCCAAATGGTGAACCCAATGGGAAAGACAAAAAGCGGAAATGTTCATCGGTAAATCCACTGCATTTACACTTAAATTCTTTTTAATGTCAGGAAGATGTCCTTTGCCACATTGAAATGCTTGAAAATCGTAAGGAAAAATCCGGAAGCGACAATTCTCGATTTGGCAGAATTAGAGCGCTTTATGGCTTCGCCGATCGTATTGACTATCAGGTAATCAATCTTTCTTATTTTTATTTATTCAACGTTTTTAGCTGATGTTTGTCGCAATATTCTGCGTGCTAATCCAGTCGATACTTCCACCATTCGTATGGTTGCTGATCGGCAAATTCGTGAACGCGCAGATGATGATTGAGGCGGGTGAAATGTCTTAATTTGCGTGCAAAAAGGGGGAAACGTAAAAGGTGCACTGCGGAGCCGGCGGTACAAATTAGGAAAGGATCTCTTTTTGGTTTTGGCCTTGGATCCGAGCAGAAATTGTCGGTGTTGGTTCGAGAGAACACGAGGGGTTCGAATTGTTGGGGTGATAAGGCATCAAAAAATGTAGAGATTTTCAGATCACCACGTTCAAAGCCGAAAGTTTCGGAAGAAAGGAAAAAATCATAACAGCCAGAATCAATAATTTTTTGGTTTTTAGGTCCAAGAAGTTCGAAATCAAACAGCACCCGAAGATGTTCCCAATATTTCGACCACCATGCCACCGGATCCAAAACTATCCATAATCCCTGCAAATGAAGCAAACAGTGAGGTGCTATTCCTCGTTGCCCTTGGCCTTGCCGTCAGCCTCTTCTTCGTCGCCTTTTTCCAGGTTTAACTATTAATTTTACTGTATACATCATCAATTTAGCGCCTCGCTTGGGAGTTCTCAGCCATCCGCCAAGTATTCCGCGTGAAAAAGGCGTACATTATGAAGTTGTTGAACATGGATGTATCCTGGCTTGAATCCAGGCAATCCGGCCAAGTAGCATCGATGTTGCATGAGTATGAAGATGCCTAGATAGCCAATTATTGTCGGTTTAGCAATGCTGATAACATCTACAACGGAATCGCCGACAACATGCCGCAAATCATGTTCACATTTGCATTCGTCATTTGCACACTGTCGGTGTGTTTCTGGATCCAATGGGACGTCACTTTGGTTATTATTGCCGCAGTTCCCCTGCTTGTTATTGTCCGAATTATCTTCAGCAAGGTATCATCTCTAAGCTTTCTCCAATTTCACAATTTAGTGGTTCTGCAAAAATGTCGATGAAGAAAATAATCTTCATAACAAGATGACCAACTTGGTCAACGAGACCTTTGCCTGTATCCGAACTGTCATCAGCTTTGCAGCACAAAAACAAACCATTTTTAAGTAAGAAATTCCTTCATAAGCTTCAAAACCGTTTTAGATTTGAGCGGCTAACACAAGAACACAATAACTTGGTAGAACAACGGTTACGAACTTCATCAGTTTTTGATTCTCTCGCTCAAGTACTAGTGACAGAACTGATGTTCACAATCGCCCTCGCCTACGGCATGTACCGAGTCGGATCTACTCAAGCCGGACTTCTCAGTTCGGTAAAATAACACGTTTGGAAAAAATGCTAAGACCCTTTTAGCTAGCCATCAACATGCTTTATGTTTGTGTGACTTCAATCACGATTGGCTTCCATCTGAACGGCGCCAGCCAAGCCAAGAAAAACGCCGTTGAACTGCGCGAAATCCTACAAGAGGTCCGGCTGACGCCTAAAAACGAAAATCAAATTCCAGGAGCCATTGATCGAAAAGGAAAAAACAATCTCCCTACGTGGACCCTCCGTGATGTTGCAACAGAAATGGAAAAGGGACAACAGGAAGGGGAAGATCGAGTTCCGTGAACTTCGATTTACCTATCCGAGTCGGCCAGACATTGAGGTGGGGGAACCAGCTGAGATATAAAAATCAAAAGTTCAGGTGCTAAAGGGTCTGACATTCACTGTGAATCCTGGAGAGCATGTTGCCATTGTGGGGCCAAGTGGGTCTGGAAAGAGTACTTTGACTGCTTTGCTGCTCAGGTTTTATGATCCGACTGATGGAGAGGTATAAAATATAGTAAAAAATACAAAAAAATTGGCTTGTAGATCCGAGTCGATGGGAAAAACTTGCGATTTGTGAATCCGTTTGCGTTGAGGGCTGAGTGTTCGCTGGTCAGTCAAGAGCCGGTGTTATTCGATGGAACCATTTCGGATAATATTCGTTATGGAAGGCTCGATGCCACACAGGTAACCATAAGAAATATAGGATCATATTAAAATAATATAACACTATAGCATAACCTTGTAGGCCGAGATCAACGAAGCTGCCCGGAAGGTAGGCGCCTGGAGCTTCATCGCAGCTCTCCCCGAAGGAATGCAAACTCGTGTCGGGGATCGGTAAGCAAAAAAAATAAAAATTAAAAACACGGTTTTTTCTAGTGGAGTGCAACTTTCTGGAGGCCAAAAACAACGCGTAGCCATCGCCCGAGCTGTCCTCAGAGACCCAACCGTACTCATTTTTGATGAAGCCACTTCCGCCCTCGATAACAAACACGAAGAAGAGGTCCAAGCCTCCATTGAAGCCGCTTCAGTCGGGATTAGCAGTATCACCATTGCTCATAGGTGCGTGTTGCGTAGTTTTTTCAAATATATTATTTAGACTGACCACCATCCGTAATGCCGACAGAATCATCGTGCTGGATGGAGGTAGAATTGTTGAAGAGGGATCTCCAGATGATCTCCTGGCAAATCAAGATGGAATGTATGTAAACCTAGCTTTATTCTATTTTCTTCTAGCTTTTCGAAGATGTACAACGAACAACGCCTTGACCAAATCGCCGCAGAGCTTCCACCCCAAAAACCAGCCGACCTGAAACATCAAAAATTTTCGTTCACGCCGGCTGATCTAAAAATGGTATGTTAATTCTAGGTTCTAACTATTAGGCAAATAATTTTAGGACAGCATGTATGATCCAGAGACGAGAAGGAGAGCCTGGGCCCGATCTTCCCTAGGTGCGCACAAGAAGCTGGGAAAATCCTACTCGGTTCACTCAAGGCAAAAGGAAAAGCTTGCCCAATCCATCATGAGCCGTAAAAAGTACGAATTCGAGAAAAATTCAGTTCACTTTTATCTTAGAACCACCCGTTTCTCCCAATACTCCATGAACAACAATTTCATCGACGCCGACATTGATGATGAAGGCCACGATCTAAGCGAAGAGGTATTATTGAAATGACATAGTTTTCAAAAGTATATCACATTTGTGTAGCCACCAAAAACCAAAGACGGAAAGAAGGTACTTGTGTTCGATTTTTATTTATTTCCTGAGTTCATTTTTCAGTTTTTGATTTATTTCTTGAATTTTCTACTAACCAACTAACAATCAATCAGAGGCCACTCTCTACTAACAATGACGATTGGGTGGATACTGACTCAATATCATCTGCTACGTCATCTACCTCTGCGTCGAGCGTGCTCAGCTTTTTCGATTTGATGGCGGTAATGGAACTTCTCATCATCAAGAATATTTTATAGTAATATATCACTAACCAAAATTCATAATATTCTTATTATTTTTATTCCTGAGTTCTTTTTTGTTTTGGGAGTCATTTACAAGTTTATTACGGACTAATTTTAATTTTGCAACTATATAACAAAACGCTTTCAGTTGCCCGGAAAAGCCTCAAATCTGAATGCGGTTTGGACATTGATCAAGAGCTATCGTGCTGGGTAGGTATTATTTTAACATTTAATTATTATTTTAATATTTAACAAATTTTTATTACTTAATTTTTTATAAAAAGTGAATTTTTAGTTGGAAGTACCTTATTGCCGCTATCCCAATCACAGCTATCAGAGCATTCTTTTATCTTCTGATCTGCTTCGAGCTGCCGAAATTTTTGGAGGTATAATTAATAAAATAACTGTCGACATGTAAACATTATGTTCTCGACAATATCTTCGTACTTTAACTTTAAACAAATTTTTAGCTTGCCGTTATCCCAGAGGAAAAACGATCCCAGGCCATTTTCATCACAGCCGCCATCTTCATCGCGCTAATTATTGTCAAGACAATGTTTGACGCCATGGGGGTATTAAGACTTAACAAAATCTCATTAAAAAATTTCTAGCGCCTCTTCATCGCTCTCTACGGACATGGCTTTTGCAAATACATGAGAAGTGAAATGTTCCGGTCACTACTGCGACACGGAGCGGCGTATTTCGACGAAGAAAAGAATTCACCTGGGCGACTTGTTCACAAAGTCATTAATGACACGAATACTTTGGATAAGGTATTTCAATTGGAACGCTTTGTTATTGAGTAAAAATTTAGATTGTCGGTCAAAAACTGGACATGCTAATTCCGGCGTTCCTTTGTTCGGTGATCGCGATTGTTGGTAAGGAATCCTTTTGAAGAAATCCGAAATAAAAAAATTATTTCAAATATTCAAAACCCCCAGTTTTTAGTTGCGGCTTGTATCAACTGGCAACTAACTCTCATCTGCGGATTCCAATTCCCGGCGTTCTTCATTTTCCGTGTAGTACAACTGAAAGAAGGAGCGAAGCGGCAACGCCAAATGATTGAAGAGGAAAAGAAGGCTGCAAATGTAATTTTTCTCTTGTTTTTTGAAAGAGTCCTTCTTTAGCTGGCCACCGTCGTCTTGAGCAATATGTCGACCATCAAGGCCTACAGTCTGCAGACCCATTTCTACCACGTCTTCTTGCAAGCACTTGAGCCAGTATCAAGGGCCATGAAGAAGCAGTCGATCATTAGTGCATTCGTCTACGCGTGCCAATATTCCTTTGCGTTTATCCTCATCGCAATCACAATGCATTTCGGAATTCAATTCATCAGAGACGGAAAAGTGACACCCGGAGATTATTTGAGGTAGTTTATTCCTGCATAGTTTTGTAATATATATTTAGAATCATGTTGCTCACCCAATTCGGGGCCAACTTCTTCTCGCAACTGATTGCTTCAGTTTCGGATCTGAGCAAGGCCCGCATTGCAGCGGAGAATATTCTGAATGTGATAAAGGAAAAGGCTGTGGATATGGACAATCTATCGGAGGAAGGGCTACGACCCGTAAGAGCATCGTCAGATGCAACGTCACACTGATTAATTCTAGAAACTCGAAGGATCCATTCGACTTCAAAACGTCAGCTTCCGATACCCCAGCCGACCAATCATTCCGATTCTACAAGGCCTTACCTTTAACGTACGGGAAACCATACTTTTGAAATTCTATCGACTTACAGATCCCGGCCGGCCAATCTGCAGCCATCGTTGGCCCTAGCGGTTCTGGTAAAAGCTCTATATTTGGTCTACTTCAACGGATGTACACTCCAAATGAGGGCATTGCCGTAAGTATTTAAAAAGTTTAGCATGAAACCAAAATTTTCAGGGCATCGACAAATACAACGTTCGAAGCATCAACCCGGCGTATCTACGCCGAGTCGTGGTTTCTGTAGGCCAGGAGCCAACGCTGTTCTCATTCACCATACGAGGTGAGCAGATTTGAATAAACCGCAAGCCTAAATGTTTTTTAGAAAATATCGCCTATGGACTTGACGATCGAGAGGCGCCTATGACCAAGATTGTAGAAGCCGCCAAAGTGGCAAATATTCATGATTTTATTTCTTCACTCCCACAGGTAGGATAAGGCGAATGGATTTTAATGGCATTTTTGTAATGATAGTATAATATTTATTAATTTAAATTTATAGGGCTATGAAACGGAAGTCGGAGAGTTTGGTGCGCAACTTTCTGGGGGTCAGAAGCAAAGGATCGCGATTGCTCGAGCTATTGTTCGTGATCCGGTCATTCTTCTACTCGATGAGGCGACAGCCGCACTTGATAGTACTTCTGAAAAGGTATTATTACCCAGAAATAATGTAATTATGCCTTTAGCACGTACAAGCCGCACTTGAAAATCTATCACGGACATGTACATGTGTACAAAGTAAGTTATTTTCAGAAAAAAGCTAGCTCAAGGTGGTAGATTACGTTTTCAATCGGAGTTTTAGTTGCCCATCGCCTTTCCTCCATCCAACACGTCGACAAAATCTTTGTCGTCGTCGAGGGCGCAATCGTCGAGGAGGGCAACCACGCAGAGCTTATGGAAACACGCGGGATTTATTATGAAATGACCCAGAGTAGCTTATAACTTAAGGTTATAATTTAATGCCTTAATGCCTAACTTACCTTGGTGCTACCCCTCATGCCAAAGCCATTACTTGTGATTAAGCCTTAATTCACCTTGAATTTTGTTATTTTTCTCTATTACCTTCCAAAATTTGGGCACATATCAGGAAAATAGTCTTGCCACCTTATACGTGAATGCCTTGTATATCAATTATAAATATTCTTTGTTTATTCGTTGTGCTAGTGTAGTAATTGATAAATTGTGCAAATATTTGAAGGCTTTTAAGATGTTTCCCTTCAGGTCATGGTTGCTTTGGGTGTCTCATTAGGGAGTGTGGCAGGAATAGGGTGGAAATAAGGGGGAAAGGGGTGGAGAAGCCGAAACGGGATCAACAGTCGAGAAGTGTCGACGACCGGCACATACATAGACAATAGACAGCCGATGGCACGATGCCCTTGACAGTGCTGAACCACCCCTTCTCTCAGAGACGCTAGCTCCAAATAACACACTCTCCGTTTTCCTTGGCTATGACCTGCATTTTTCCTTTGCTAGAGAGTCCTTAAGCTAGTGGAAATAATATGCTACAAACAAAACAATTTATATGTTAAAACTTCAAAAGCATTATTTGCATGTTAAAAATCAGCTTTCGACGTTTGCTTTACATACTATGTTCGTAGCCTCTTGGCTTCGTAAAAGTATATCCCGTAAAAGGTTGAATTTCAAGGTATGAAAGAGTTGTCACTAGGTGTTAGATTTCTTTAAGGGGACCGCTGACATATCTAACTCCACAAGCATAATCATTTTCAATGTTAGATTTCAAAAAATTTGTTAAATCTGTGATTCCAATATATCATTATCATATCTCACTATACTTGCACCTATCTCCTACTTTGAATGACATACATTTCTCCTGGAAAAACCGACTAGCCGTTATGTAAAGTCAGCGGCTACCTGAGTTTTACCATAATAATTTAACGTTATTGGAAATTACTCGTAAATTGCAAATAATTTGATCCCAGGAGACTTCTCAACCCTGCCATCCCCTTAACTAGCATAGAAATTATCCTTTCACAGTTTTCAACATCATCTCGTACCCACTAACCCAAAGCCCCCTCCTCAAGCCCAACCTCCCACATGATCTTTATAGCAAAACCGGTACAGTTTCCTGACCGTCCACCAACTAACGGGTGTTTTTTCCACCGCCCGCCGGCAGGGCGTGTGGCGTGCGCGCGCCTATGTGGAGAAGGAGTTGAAGGGGGATTATGCAAATCTGGCTCGGCCTCCTGAGACGAGCCCTCCAGAGCCGAAAAACGGTGCTCCAGGTGCATCGGGGTGTGAAACGATGGGCGCAAATGGAGTGGTGGCGACGCCTAGGTTGTTCCAGTTATGAACTTGTTGAGGTTGTCTTGGTGGTCAGTTGTTGGGTGATGGCCGGAGATCTGTTGTACTACTGCGAATTTGATGTTTTCTTAAATTTCTAGTTTCGTTAAAGCTTCCGACTTACTGGAGCTTCCGGTTTGGAAATACCGATATTTAGTTTTATTAGCCACAGATATTTGAAGTTTTTTTTTAAGGTATTTATGAAAATCCTTAATGGTTTTAGACTTTTGTGCTAATAGGCATATTTTCGCCTTAAGTGTATAGTTTTCGAAGCTATTTGAGCCTTCGGTTACGATATAGGTGTATAGGCATAGACTACGGTATTAGGGAAGAAATTTAGCATATCCCCTCAACCCTTTGTATTTTTTAACCGACATGCAACTTAGATTTTTTACCATTAATCGCGTCTCTATTTGAAAAAAAAATTTTAGGACAACCGGTTACGATTTAGATATTACTTTAAGATTGAGGCTGAATCTTTGAACATAACCTTAAGTACTTGGAGCGCATTTGAATCTTGCCTATAAAAACGTATCTGATCTTAACCGCTTCCTCAAATTTATCCGGAAAACCGGACCACCCCATCGAAATTCAAGCTGCCTGCCATCTTTTCCCCAACGAGTACAACCTGTCCAGTCGAGGTCGACTTTATCATGCTTATCGGGGGCGGCTGGAGTGGCATCCCGCGGTTAGAGCCTCGACTTTCCCTTCGATGCCAACCAACCGGGGAAGCGTCTTCTTTTCCTTCTTCTCCCTTGAACACCACCGACAGTCAGCACCATCCAACCATTCCCCCTTTTGCCTCGCGGCTCTTGACTCTCTTTCCCCCATTCCGATACTTTCCCATTGCCACATTTACTTTTTGCAATCTTGGTAGCCGTTGGATTGGGCGCTATACGATGCGGGAATAACGTGATTGAATCTTTTGCTTTTTAGGGATGCGCTGGGTGGTATTCCTGATTTTACTACAACCAGCTTGCGGTCAATTTGGGGAGATTGCATCTTTGGCATCATCATTCTTGGGTTGGTTTTTTGAAAAATAGAACTTCCGAAAAAATTTAGGAATATTTCAGCAAAATTAACTAGCAGTTTTTTATAACGCGAATTATTCAAAGTATCATATTCCAGCCATTTACATCGAAAATCAATCATCGGGAAACACCAAAATCAACAGGTTTAAGCTCACTTTTGACTTTGGGATATCAAGCTTTTCAACCGGATTTGGCAATTAGCCAGAACTTGATGAGCTTTGTGCTCATTGCACGCGTAAGTTCTACGCGCTCCTTTTTGCGGAATCTTGATTTTTTGCAAGGAAAGCCGCATTCTTAATTAAATAGTATAATTTGTTGCCAAAATGTGCAAAAAAAATGTGGTAGCATTTCGAATATTTCGTCAATTTTCAGGCCCTGCCCTTTCCGGTGGGCTTGGTGGCGCTGGAGCCGCTGCGGGAGCCGGAGGTCAAGCAGTTTCGGCGCTCTCTCAGATCGGACAATGTGAGAAAAACATTAAATTGCATTTTGATTTGATTTCATTTTAATATGCTACGCTTTAGTGTACCAATTGGCCCAAGGAGCTCTGCAATTGACCGGGACTGGAGTCTCGGTCTTAAACAAAGCCAGTGAGGGAGCCTGGTTCCCGGCTGCTATTGAAAACCAAGCCAAGGTAAGGTTTGAAGAACTAACTAAGAAGTTATCTTAAGACAAATGAGCGGTTTGGTATTGCTGGTGGATCGCCTGGTGGTTTGGGTGGTCTAGGTGGACTCGGTTCGTTATTTCCAATACTTTCGGTTCTATTTCGTCAGCGGGGAAGGGGGGCTGACAGGGGAACTGAGTTTTTTTAAGATTTCCATAGTTCCGTATAACACTTTTAATAGCTTTTACGCTTTTTATATAAAATTTCATCAACGATTATCAAATTTCCAAAAACTTTGACTTTATGATAAGAAATGTGTGATAAACTTGCGTTTAGAAACGCTATCGTAACTTTTTGGTTATCGGTAACCGCTACAACGCGCCATAACAATAATTTGTGTTTAATTATAGAGGGCCAATCCAAATTAATCAGTTTCAGCCACGTAACCTTCCCACGTCATCCAACCAAACCCCCATTTTCAATCAAATTTGAGGTGGTCTCGGCGGACTTGGAGGTCTTGCTCCCCAACCATCCGCTGCCAAAATAGGCCCCGAATTTGGTGTGGATTACAGCAACATTGACGATAAGGATGATGGAGGACTGGAACCGATTGTAGGCATATTGAGCCCCCCAAACAGACTAAAAGCCATCCTCGTAGAATGCCAGCACAACAACGGAAACGCCGCTACTCGTCACGACATCGCCCCCGGATCCATTCACAACCATGCCCAGTGAGACTGAGCATGTCACATTGTTCCCGCCGGATTATGAGAATTTTGAGAAGGGGAATGAGGTAAACAAATTGCCATATTATTGTATGCTTATACGCAATACATTACGTCTTTAGGTAATATTGGCGTTTTTTGATGCGGCATAATTCATTTAAAAAACTCAGAAGTTCTTAAATCGTACCATCTTCGGGAAAAAACTTATCAAAGTCTAAATTTTTGAGCAGGGCCAACAATCAGCAAAAACGGGCTTTATCAAAAACATTTTTATCGCTGACCATTATCGTAGAGAAATTTTTGAAAGTCAAAAGTTGAAAGTTGATGAACTATTTCACAGCATTATACTTCAAAATCCTTAGAAAAATTCCGATTATCTTTCAATAAATGAATCCCATTTAGATAACGGAAACTACCTCCATCGAAACCATGAAAAAGGTATCATCAAATCAGATTTTCCATAATTTGCTTAGATTAACATCGAAATCCCAAAAGCCTCGGGCAGCACAGACGGCGGTGATTATGAAAATATCATTACCGAAGGCGAAAAACAAGTCCGCATTGCTTCCCACCTAGATCGCGATGATGATGAGAATCTGGTAACTTTTCAGAACCCTACCTAGAAGGTCTTTTTAGCTTGAAAAAGCCTCCAGCCGCCGGGTCCGCGAGAATCATGTCGAACGCGCCGTACCTAACCTTGAGAAACTGATCGAGGTCCTGGAAAAGAGCCACCTATCCAAGGATGAAATTAAGGAGATTGTGAATCAGGTATAAAATGCGTTAATTAACAAGGGAATTTATTCAGGTCGCTGGAAACGCGAACAACGAACAATCGGGACCGTCTAATCATATTGATCTGAATTCTGGGGTTCGAAACATCTCTCCATCGCAATTTGAAAATCGTCAGCGTATTCTAAGGGCCTCTCGAGAGCTCAACAAGGTAAAATTTCTGGAAATTCTCTTAGGTCAAAGGTTCAAATTCAGAACGTTCACCCACGTTTTGTATCGCCTAGACAGCAGCGTGGCATTAATGCAAAAATAATTGATAAGGATTCAATTCAAGCTAGACCACTGGCTACTGTGCCACTAGCGGTTACGGTAGGAATATCTTGTTTGACAACTCGTGAAATATATTATTTAGCAATCTCCCTACAATCCTTACGGCTTCGTGTTGACAACTCCTCAACCTCAAGTACAACAGGGTCAATGGTATCAGGGCAGGGTAAGTTTTCAAGAGAAAATATTTATACTTTTATTTTAGTGGTACCCTGCTTATCAACAAGGCTTCCAACAGCAATGGCAATTCCAATACCCTGGCCAGGGCCAAACCCCGCAACTCGCCTACCAGCAGTATCAATATAATGGGCAGCAAGGCCAAGGGCTTAGCCATGTATTCCCACAACAGCAACAAGTTGTGAACAACCAACAACCACAACAACAACAACAACAACAGTATCGACCACAACAACAAGTCAACCAACTCCCACAATACGGAGTCCAGCCCCAAAACGTCCAACAACCCTATTACTACCAACCAAATCAACAGTACCAGCAGGGACAGCAATATCCAAACCAACAGTATCAGCAGAATCAACAATATCAGCAGCCGGCCGTTCCTCAGGTAAAACCCTTGATATTTTAATTTTCTATTACGTTTTAGAACCCTCAACCTACCGCACAACCATACCAAAATCCACAACAATTGGCTACTAATCAACAATTGGTAAGCATAGGGTTTTTTCTCATTTTAAAATTTTGTTAGCAACCACGCATTGCTATCTCACCAACTGTACAGGTCGTTCAGCCAACCAACAGTAAGATTTTTAAAAGTAAACTATTTTATTCAGATCTATACTTCGTTTAAGCTAATTTAATATACATTTTTAAGGTGCTGGTTCAGCCGGCCAACAGCCAGCCAGGCGGTCAGTTCCTACTGTAAGCTATAGTATACTTTCCTTTAATTAACCTATTCAGCAGCAAGTCGTTCATCAGTCTTCCCACCAAACTGACCTGCAGGTCGCCAGAGGCAGCACACAGTACGAAAACCGCCACGAATTTTCAAAGACAATTTTTTCCAGCAAGAAACTTCCGCTCCAAGAGGTGGTATCCCAATGTGCTAAACCTTGACTGACCTGCCTGAACTTGCTAACAATAACTTGCTACTGACAATTGCGTTTTCAGAGATCCGGGTCCACGACCTTTGTGAGGAGACATAGCCGCCGAGGTGCTGAACATAGACCGACGAATTCGAGCGGTTCAGCCCCAGCGCCAACAGCAAAGAAACATAGGGTTCACGGGACTCCCCAGCATGCGCTACAAACGCAAGTCCTGCCCGCGAGAATGCCCGCGCCTGTGGTTTGTTGTTTGCTTCATGGAATTGCACGTAAATTTTAGTAGATATATACCTCAGTTAGATTAGTGCTGTAGATATATTCGATTTTATCAATTGCTAGTGCATGTATGAAAAATCTAACCAGTCGATAACTCATCAGCAGTAAGGCGTGGTAACAGTGGTGTTCTACCGATTATGCACTAATGATAGTAAGTTAGAACCTGTCGACCAATAGCGGCGTTTTTCCAAGTAAAATCGACGGTAAATTTAAAATCAATGTATCCCCTTCTAAGGCCCCTCAACCCCTATGGTTTTTTCAGTTCTAGGCACGGGGCACAGCCATGTACCGGACATCCCATCTAATTATTCCGAACTACCGCCCAATCACCCCTCGCCCTCGAAGAAAATACCCAACGAGAACTGCTCGTACCCTACCTTTGACCACTCCTTCTCCGGTCAGTTCCAAAAGTTCTTATTACATTTTGATACATTTTTAGCGCATCGAATTACCCGAAGGCATCTATGCTGAAGGCGATTTGGTTGTAAATTCTGACCCTGAGAAGATACAACCTAATTTTTATCCGAGGTGCGTCCTGCTTGCTGCTTTTCCAATGTTTTCTAGCCAACCAACCCCTCAACTCCAACAAACACCTCAGCCTACCTTTCTCTACTACAACCATAATTATCCTTATTATGGCTAATCTACAATTTGCATAATTAACTATTATTTGTGACTATGTTTCAGGTTTCGTGTGTGCCGTGTTTAGTATTTATGTTGCCTCGGAAGAAGCGGGTTTACGCTAATGTAGTAATTATTTGTGTGCTGTGCCAGTATTTATTTACGTTTGATAATCATTTGCTCGGTATTAGTCGATTTGTAAATAAAGAATTTATTTAAGGCACGGAAATACCCTTAAAAATGTTTTTCTTGTCCTGGAGGAAAGTGGGAAAATCTGTTATTCCACAAGATTAGCCCTAAATGCCTGGAGGCTAGGAAATGCCAACGGAGATGGGGAGGAAGAGAAAGGAGTGGAGCGGAGGTTGAGGATTGGGTGGTGTGGAGGGGAGGAAGAGCCAGGTTCTGCCCACCGGCTCCTCGGAACTGGTCCCGCTCCTCGCCAAAAGCGGCGGTTGTCACCAGTGAGCTCGCCTCCGAATACGCGATACACACATTCAGTACCATTTTATTATTGATTAGCTTTTGATTTTTACGTTTTGATTGTTTTTCTAAACACCACATTTTCGATAATCCATATTGCTGAAAATTTTATTTATCTGACAAGGTTTTCTATATGCATAATTCAAGCAAAAAACCTTTTAATTTTTAAAAAATCCCAATCTTGTAAAAATTTTTGAACAACAACGATCATCGAAACAAAATTTCAAAACTTACATTTTCTTAAATGAGTACTAAAATTAGGCAAAAAATGTCTTTTCGGAGCCATTTCAAGAGAACCATAATGGTCCGGGGGTTGATACATTAAATGTGTACAGACTTTCGAGCCCTATCAAATGAGCTATATCACAACAATGCAAAACCCCCAAAACCACCTAAAAACGACTCCTAGTTGGCTATTTTTCAAGTGTAATATCATTTTTCTATTAACTTTCAGCGAGCGAGTTACGACCATGAAGTACTTACTCTTAATATGCCTTACGGCAATCCCATTCCTATCTAACGCCCAGCAAACATTCCAACAATTCCGGTTTGACCTCGATCCAAATATGCCCGCGGAAGATCCTGAGGTAACCACAACCCCGTTTTTCCAAAAACCATCCCAGACCCTCTCACAACTCGAATCAGGCCCACGTCAGGCTCGACGCGACGCCAAAAAGCCGAAAAAGGTGACCTAGATCACTTTCCGAAACCCCAACCCCCGTGTTTAGATTCAAGTCCCCTTGAAGCGTGACACCCCTCGACAACAAAACAACGCTCTACCCTTGACTGAATTTGTGGTATTCGCTAAATTTCAGCAATTCAAATGTCCCTTTAGCACCCTAACCTCCCAAACACCCCGACACCAACACACCCTGGTGTCCTCCCCGCTCAGCAAGGTGTTGCTCAGATTCAGAGCCAATTCCCGCAGCAGTTCTTGCCAGCAGCACCTCAACAGGTTTAGTCATTTGATAGAATTTTAAGTGCTGTTATAGCCGCCCTTCCAGCAGTCAAATCAATTCCTGCCCGCCGCCCAGCAGCCATTCCAGCCTCAGGCATGTCCGCTCCGATTTTATCGACGTTTGAACTCTAGCAAGGGCTGCCGGCATTTGGGCAGCAAGGATTTGGGCAGCAGCAAAATGGTTTTCTGCCGCCAGCCTATAATCAACAACAGGTAAGTAAAAATATTTTAGATTATAGAATCCTAAAATCAATAAAACAAGGTTATGGTGACATTTTAGTGTTTTTGCTTTCAAAAATGGAGCATAGATCTGGGATTTACGTATGGATTTGCATATATTTAGCAATTCGGCTTTGGTTCCCAACTTGCCGCCAACCAACAATACTACCAACAAAATCAGTTTGCCCCTCAACCCTACCTACAGACGGTTGGTGCTCAACGTTTCCCGATATAGCACCTTTAGACAACCCCGATTGCCGCTAACCCTGCGAAAACCCCAATCCCATACCTACCCGAACTCATCCCCCGCCAGCCAGTGCGCATCAACCCAGCCCCAGCTGATCTGGATGTGACAAATGTACGCTCAAGCTGCTGATCTAATCTAGCAACAACCAATTTCAGACGCTTCAAATCGTTCCAACCGCTTCAGCTGCCCAAGCAGTACGCAATGTCATGCGCGAAAAGGGCTCCGAAGTTACTGCCACCGCTATTCAAGTCCCAGATGAGATTGTTGAGGTTGGAACCATCTTATTTTTGACAATCTCTAGGTAACTCCCATCCGTGAAACCCTCACCAGCGCCTCGATGTGGTTTGAAGAAGAGTTCGACACCTCTAGTAGGTCCCAACTTTGCTCCTTGATATTTTCAATTTAGAGTGCCAATTGACGACCATCGGCAAGAAGTTCCAGAACAAATTCCCATCCAGTGTAGCCAGCCGTACCAAAGATGCGAAGCTGGCCACTTTGGTTGAAGCTCGTTTGGTAGAATGCCAGAAAAAATTTGATGCGGGCCATTGGGATAAGGTGGACAAATTGCTCGGGAAGATGGTGGCGTTGAGCAAGAGGTAAGCGCTATTTATATCCTTATGACAACACGATAGATCCTATCATACTGTCTTATTCTAGCGAAGAAGCCGATTGCCGTAGCGGTCTCGTCCAGGAGCAAATTTCCTGCCGAAACCTGCTAAGCATGGCTTGCCAGTTTGTCCAGCCAACCTTTGAAGTCAGTTTGCAATAAATTAACTATCCAGTTTTAGTTCCGCCTCGTACCAGCACGTATGGTAATTCAAGAAGCGCGGCATGCTGAGAATGGATCAGAAAAATGCCGAAACGCAGTCCGAACTGTCAAACAACGCCTGGGCCAGAAGCATTGATAAGTGTCAGCTACTTTGCAGATAATTAATAACCTATATAATGTAATATTTATTCATATTAACCGTAAATCTTGGGACCGGGTGTTGTAGCACTCAATTCAAAAGTCCTGACGGGATTCTCTGAAACATCCTTTTATTAATTCTGTCTTTCAGCTACCATCAGCAGACTGTATTTATTTGCAAGCAATTGTCATTTCCGCGCTGCAATACATAGTTACAACCGTGTCTGAAATTACATATAGACATTAATGGAACTATCACCTTAATGGAGCTTTCCGAATAGGTGGACAAGTTTTAGGTTGACACATCCCATCCACGCAAATATCTCCAGATTCACAGTCATTTGCTTCTTCACAAGCTACAAAAATTCTTTAGAAAAATACAACTTTAAACTTACGATCTATCGTTCTTCGACATATGCTTGCCAAAACACATTGAACGTCTGTCCTCCGTATCTGGACGTAGGCATCATCACATTGACATGTCGGAATACAAGACTCACTTAATTACAATAATATAGTATAATCTGAAGTTTGATTTCCTTACTTGCACTTATCCAGATGATTACAAGTAAATGGACATGGTGATCCGCATTGGGTAAAGTGCGAATTTGCCGGGCAAGTCACTTCTTTGCAACCTCCGGTCTTCGGGTCGCACCCTTTTGACCCAGTACAAGTCACGTTTTGGCAGAATTCTCCCTAGGAAAATTTACTATTATATACCAGAAAAACCTGCAGAACAGTTGTTGGTAGCTCTCTGATTTTACAAGTTCCGGATTTCGCGTCACACTTCGTGCCACTTGGGCAAGGCTCAGGCCCACAGCCAACGTCTCGGAATACACAATTGCCTTGCAAACAATAGTGATCGTTATCGCATTGAATTCCTTCGCATAGATCCACGTAACTAAATTCTTTCTTTAAAACCAGATCGTCTAGCGTACCGGAAAACCACACAATTGCCACTGGTCAGGTCACATTTTTGGCCTGCTGGACAGGTTACCCCTTGGCATTTTACGGGCTGATCGTCTTTTTGTATAATTCGAAGATTTCGACAAATGCCAGAATTTGCGTCACAAGTAGTCCCAGATAGGCAATTGACATTCCAGCATAGATCCACGGGGTTTTGATTCCTGAATTCATCGTATGTAAAATATCAATGTAAAATACAAACCCTGAGACTGCTTTTTGGATCGTCGTAGAGGCCGGTACGATAGCGTTGACAACACAACGGCCGGTGGCCGAGTCACATCTCGTATGAGTGGGACATACCATCTAAAATTTGTCATCATACAAACGTCTCATTATATATGAAGGCAATACCGCAATGCAAGGATCCCTGGCGATTGAGAAGGATCTTGGTCCCGACAATGATCCATCATTTATTTTCCGTGGAATACACTTTCCAGTCGCGCCATCACATTCCGAATCGAGGGTACATCTGAAGGCACAATAAGATTTGTGAATAAAACTAACTGAATTCGGTTCATCAAGCACAAATTCACAGGCTCGATTTGTCGAATGGCCAAACATTCTCCAGATTTCGGGTCGCATTGTAGCCCCTCGAAACAAACGATATTTCTACAGTGGTCGACTACAGATTCAGAGCGTCGAAGAGAAACAAGCTCAGATTCGATGACCGCCCTGAAACTTGTATAATTAATCTATTTATGTATTACCTCAAGGTCAAACACTTCCCAGATGCCGAATCGCAAATCATTCCATATCCACATTTTACTTTACTACAAGCATCATCCTTTGGCTGACCAAGACTTTCAGGCAGCTTCTCCTTTCTTGGCTTTTCAGTTACAGTAGCATTAGTTTCTTTTGTTGTAGTAGAAACTGTGGTGCTCGTGGTAGTTGTGGAGGTAGTTGTTGCCTCAGTTGTTGTCTCCTCGTCCGACTTGAACCTGGACGCCATTTGTTTGTGAAGCGTATTTGCCTCGTACTTTTGGCATACAGCATTCTCGCAGTACTCATCGTCATCACAAACAGTTCCTCCGCATGCCGTTTTGCCCTGCGCCGGCTCGCAGGCCCCACTGAAATTAGTCATTGTTTGGCCTTATCAAGTCTATCAGTGAAGCCTTGGATTTGATGATCCAAGCGATGATCTCTTTGCCAACCTCACACAAACGAATCCCGGTTCACACGTCACATCTTGGCACAGCAGCGCGTATCTTTCGAGCAATTTTGCGAATCTGAATCGTAAAATGGGTGTAAAGTCGGTGAATGCACCTCAGCGGAGTCCGAAACCCGCGGCAAATTCCGGTATTTTCGTCACACCTCGTCCCCTCGGCACAAGTGCCGCATTTTGAGGTCGCAATGACCGGCTCGTTGCGTCCAACAGATGGGTTTGTAGAGGAGATTTGGATCGGGATAGGGATTGTCATTTCCTGGGGATACCTTGAGTTATAGGTTTCAACCATACTTGAGAAGTTCTGAAAGAACGGCATTGACCAGTGTTTGAGTCGCAGGCTAACCCATCAGGGCATCGAACTGTGGCGCAGAGTGAAATATCACCTTCAAGTTGGCGAGTTCCGCTAGCACCGGGTTGTCTAAGAACCAGATTACCAAACCCATGCATTTTTCTTTACCTGCTAGCCCTACACAATCCTGTATTCCCATCACAATAGTATCCGGCAGCACACAAGATTCCCCTACATTTATCAACACTTGCCCCACTGCCTGCAGGTTCCCGGAAAATTCGACAAAGCCCCGTCTTGACGTCACATTGCTAATTACGGATTTATAAAGATTTGGCAAAAGTTGTACTTGTCCGGCGGGGCAGCTGAGTCCAGAGCATTTCCCATTAGTTCCTGGGCGTCTAACAGGGCGACAATATCCGGTGTTGGTATCGCAATAATGGCCGACAGAGCATTGAACATTTACGCATTTATCAATGGGTATCTGAAAGTTGGGAATTTACCGAAAGCTTTTCTTACCGCAGGGGCCTGGTTTGGCGTTCTAAACACCGTACATCTACCGGTGTTAGAATCACATTGAGATCCGAATGGGCACGTAACACCTAAAAAGTTACTTTAATTTTTCGAAAAGTTTGAACCTGAGCAAGGATCCGTGCGAACTGGATGTCTCGCGATCGGAACACAAGATTTCGTCGCTGGATCACATTCATACCCGGTCATGCAGACAACACCAGCACAGGCTGGCACTAATGGAGCTGATCGTGGATTATTCACGACAATAAGCAAATTACCAGAACTCGGAGCCCGGAATTGACGGCAAATTCCGGTGTTTGTATCACATTCAAAACCAGATGGGCAGTCAACTTCATCACAAGGTGAAGCTTGGTGATATGCTGCCTCACATCGGCCTGTTTTTAAGAATATTCATGTCGATTTTTATTCAGCTTACCGGTGCTTTGATTGCATTGATAGCCAGGCAGGCAAAGCGGGCAACTTGATACTGCTGGGGTAGCTACCGGCTGTCGGAATTGGCGGCAAAAGCCTGAGGTTACGGTAATGAGTGTGGTTTGGTGTTATACTACCTGTATTCGTATCGCAATCATAGCCAACAGGGCACGAAGATTTTGTACAAATTGCACATGCAGCATTAAAAAATTGCTATAATATTGATTAGTATAGATTTAGTATAATATTAGCTTACCAGCATCCATAACAAAACCCATAGAAAAGCGCCCATGTTGCTTAACCCAGAGTGATACAAAGACTTCAAAAAATCACGTCTACGCTTACAAGTATTGAAGGGGTCGAAGGGTTAGTCGCGCTGGTTGAGTCGGGGAGGGTGGGTTTTTCTTGATGAAGAATTGTTCATCCCGTGGGGCCGACCCTGGACCAACACGCGCGGTGTCAATGCTCTCGATAAACAAAGAGGAGGGGGAACGACAAGCTTGACGCGGAGGCTGGATCGGTTGTTGGGGGGGAAGGGGAGGACCAACAAGATCCCTTGGGTATCGGCCCAACTTGGGGAGGGGATTTCATCAGATCTATTGATTAGATTAAAGGATCATCGCTGTGCATAGCAAAAGACTTATCATATAATATGCTATTACGATCATCAATAGGAGGCTTGGTTGCCACTTTTCTCTTTAATAGACCTATTACGTATATCGCATCTCAATAACATGCCGATACGGATGCAAAGAAAAAAAGAAATTGTGCGACGGTATTTATATTTGTAGTATCTAAATATTATTGGTTTACACTTCGCATGCTAATTAGAATCTACTTGTTATCGCATTTAAATGGGTGATCCAAATCATGCCTTTTTCTTCCATAAAAATAATGCCTGTGCCGACGCGCCTAGTCTATTGGATAAAAAATTTTCCTGAAAAATTTTTCCGTTTTCCAGAAGCGGAAAGCGGAAGCGGAACAGGAAAGTATCTAATTTTAAGGATATTCCTGGGTTTACTGATCACTGAACTCTTACTTGATTTGTCCAAAATTGCGTTTATCCCTTTTTTTGATACCACATTTTAAAGCACATTAAATGCTTGTAATTTGCGTATGTCCTTTGCTTCTCACCATCGGTTTATTATTTATTCACCAAAATTCCAAAAACCTATTACTATCATCTCTGCGAAAATTGTGAAACAAATATCCTAACAGTAGGACTCGTGGGTTTCCCATTCCTTTGTGGCCCAGGCGATGTCGTCCTCGTAATCTGCTGCTTATTCTCAGAACTAAACCGGGCGCACTTTTATTTTCCCCATATCCACATACCATAAAGCCTGCTTGGCCACCCGCTTAAAGCTATGCGAGAAGAGCAACAAGAGGTAGGGCGGAGCACAGGAATAAATATTCTGGACGCTCGTATAAAATAGGAAAAACAAGCTCGTTTCCATGTTAGTGTTGATGCCAAAGGCATAAACGATAAATCCGAAGTACATATATTCCAGTGAACAGACGGATAGGGCCAAGAAAACGAGTCCTCGCTCGTGGCGGGCCTTACGTTTTGAGAAACCAGCCAGGAATGGGTTCGCCCGTCTGCCTGTAGGCACTTCCTACAAGTATTTTTTTTTGTTATGGCCTGAAAAGAAGACACTCACCGTATTCAAATTATATTTTCTTCGAAATGCAACGATCATGATAACATAGCTTATAAGGATAATTATAACAACAATAAAATCTCCGATAAACGCCATGGTGAAGAAATTTATGCGAAAGACTGGGTCCAGAAATTCGATGTAATACCCGCCAGCCTATGGAATAGGTAAGTTTCAATCGAGAGTATTACCCTAAGGTCCCACTCAAAGTCGCCGAAGCACAAAGCTGCCGCTATGAGACAACCAGGCATGAATTGAACAAAATAGATTTCATAACGATGTCGCATTGACCAGGCCTAAAAAATCTTAGAAGCAAGGGGATAAACTTACTTTGGTATACGAGCCAGGGCTTACGGTGGCTGTAGCTCGATTTAGCGCGAGGAGCATGACCGTGAAGCCTTGCCAAAATCTGAATTATATAAGGAGTTTAATTCAAAGCTATGTTAATTTATGCGGCTTAACCGTCGATTCGTAGCCATTCAATTCTTAATTATTGGTCTACAAACATAATATCTATATTCATGAAACTTTTTTCTAAGCCTAATATAAATTTGTTATTAAGCTCAATTTCTTAGATTGCTTTCTATCTCACTCACCTACGCAAAAGACCATCCCGAAAGGCGGCTTTTCCGCTTGCTTTTGCTGGAACCGGAACAAGATTTCCTCCATTAATATTACCATCATTTGCCAAAAACACGAACGTCTCTATTCCACCGTTCGCCAATCATCACCCCAACTCCAACAGACATAGACTCTCCTTTGCCCGATATCATAAATCATTCACCCCCTTTTCTTTTCCCAAAGACACGTTCCAGAGTCCCGATCTTTACGACAATTCGGCCAACCGTTTGGCCCTTTAATCCACAAATTCATACCTCGTTCCCCAAGCTATCATCAAATAGATGCGCCCGGAAATTGGCCCCGTTCCGAGGTAAAATTCCAGCCAGATATTATTGGCCGGAAAAACGGCACCCAGATAACTGTTGACAATCGACAGCACGTCAATCAATCCATTCAGCTGAACTTTGGATCGTTACGGGGGATAGAGAAAAGATTGAGAGAAAAACAGAGCTCCGAGGCGCCTTCGCCCGACCTTTAGAAAACAGCGCCCCTCCATAGAACAATCATTCACATGCGGAGATATCTTTCGATGATACGCGCGCTATTTTTGAAGAGAAGTATTATTTTTGGTGTCCCGGATCTCAGTAACCAAAAAAAAACCCGCTTATCTCTCGACGGTTCCACAGATCTTTGCCGTCCGGTTTGAGAAAGATTCGTACCGTGCACATTCGAAAAAAGGTGGAATGGAAGTCCGATTGATTACGGTAGACGATGAGGAGATATAGCACCACACAATAGTATGGTAGGGTTACGACAGTCCAGGCGGTGCTCGCCCAAAAGAGCGTTTCCGCGATAATGTATTCCATTTTCCATATAGGAGAGGTTAATGGATGATGGATGGATGGATGAGGATGATAGGCAGATTGGTAAGAAGTACGTTGATTAACAAAACAAGTGGTCGGTAATGCGTTGAGGTGGCTGGTCGTAACGTGCAGCTGGGTGGGGGTTTTTCTGGGGGCAGTGTTTTCCGTGAACTGCTGTTTCCGTCGGGGGCAGGTGAATTCTAGGGGGCAAGTGGGTTGAAGATGGTGGTTTGGGCTTGAAGTCTGAGCCATTAAGTTGTATTCTTGAATGGGAAACAAAAAATTTACGTGTTATGACGAAAAGGTCAGAGTTAGGGGGCTAGAGGTGATCACATGGTTGGATGATCGGATCGAGCACGCTAGACCCGAGATATACCAACCTCATATGTAGATGGTCTTTTTACTTTTTAAATAGAAATTCATACGTTAGCTACTTTAATTTTAGCTGCAGCTATCTCTGATTTAATAAAACGGTAGAACTTTGCTTTATGTAGCACCACCCGTTTTCGCTATGACTTTTTTTAGAGCTATTTACATTATTTTGAGCTGCAATTACAACTCATCGTATATTTTTTGGTGCTGGATCGAATGGCCAAGCCAAAATTCGGATAAAATAGTGGAAATGTCAAAAAATTTGAGACCCCCGGCGGCGAGTAAAGTCCATCCAAAGAAAGTTACCTATTTGCCGAGCGGTACAGTGAAAGTTCTTTGGTGTAGCTTATGACCTAACGATTTCATTTTGATTACAGGATTTTATAATTTTGCGTAGGTGTACTTTACACTCTAGCACCTGGTATGAAACTGTTACGAAATCTCCCGTTAGGTCCCCCATGACCCGCCGATGCGGTAAGACCCGTTGAGCTCTGCACAACCAGTTAATATATACGGTTCCGGGATGTTCTCTCCTGGGTGCACCCGTTTCCAGCTTTCCAACTTTGATCGAAAAGTGATTACTGATGACGTCCTACCGCCGGGGTTCCATTTCAAAAACCGTCGAAACACGATCACCCCACTGTAATCAAAAAAGGTTCATGTGGATCAGGCGTGAATGAGTCTCTCAACAGATTGGTTTCGTGGATATCATGAGAATGGGATATCCAAATACCTAGTCTAGATATCAAAGACGTCAATGGTACCCTAGTCACATGTCGCCGCCGGGGTCGATCCCCCCATCGCCTATAAATATCAACTATTTTCGTGGGAGAGATCCGGCTGGCGGGGGAAAGACGTCGTCTCCATATCATCTTCTTCCACCCCCCCCCCCCTCCTCATTTGGGGAGCGATCTACTTGCTTGTCCGCCAATCATCAAAAACACCCCCTCTAGGACTGTGACAGTCCAACTGTCCTACTCGCATCACCGTTCTCGGTGCATTGTTGTTTGTTGAGGTGGTGTTGGCGAATTTCTATTGTTTTGATAACACTTCCTTGATGTTTAATTTCGTTTAAAGCTGATTAAGAAAAGCCCAGAAGGCTCAAAATTTGCATACACTTTGAGTCGGAATTGCTGGTCTTTTTCCTGTTTTATAATTTATTTCAATCTTTTAAAGTTCGAGTTCTATAAGTAAACCAAGGAAACACAGCGTAAAGGAAAAATATCGACTTTGTTAGTTTTGCAATTGCATACTTCGTGTCTTAAGACTTCGTGGCAAATTTTAAACAAGTGGATGATATGCATTCCCAGGTTCTATAATTATGCCAATTTTGAGGCCCAGGCCTATTTATATATCTATCAAAATTCTTTTCATCACCATTTTGCAACTTCACCAAAGTTCTAATCAGCTCGCACATAACCTCTCAATGAAATCGGGATGTAGTTTCGATAATGCAATGGGAAACTCGGCAATAAAAAGCTCGAAGACGTGGGTCTCCGCCGGGTCATAAACATCGACAAAACCGAAAACATCACGGAAAGCATTGATCTTTCTCATTGTCTCTCCCCTTATTTCCCCCTTCCTGTCTGATCAACTTCCGGCCTACCACAATCCCGCAATTCCGTGATGATACCCACTTCCGGTGGATATCAACACCGTATCATTTGCATGCCCCAATTCCATATCCGGCCGCCCCGCATTTGATCTGCAACCATCTGATCTACCATCCATTCCATCTTAAATAATGCCCTATGAACTGTCGCTGCCCCCCCCACCTCCAATCCGCACCATCTCCACCCGTAATCATCACCACGCCTCCATCTCATCTTCCCCCTCCCTTTTCATTGCCTTTGCATAAAAACGAGTTCTTTTCCTCCACACTTCCACCACCCCGCCCTGTAGGCGATTTTCCGCAAAAACATATGCCCTGCGCAACGGGATGGATTTCGAATTTTGCAGGGTGTCTCATGAATTGATCAAAAAAACTACCCGTAACCTTTTATGTCCCTTTAAAGGAAACATCAGAGTCCGTGCCAATCAGCATAACAAAATTTTTATTCGTAAATTATGAAAAATCGGGTTCTGCTCCCCGTCGCACGAGGCCATGCCCTCCTTCGTCTTTTGCATAACCTTTCCGGTTAGCTTTCTTTCAGTCGTAGGTGAAGCTTGAACTACACGAACCTTCCTCGATCTTTCCACTCCCTTTATTTTTTTTAACACATCCTTTACCTTGACCCAACCTCCATACCGTATTTCCCACAACCCCCCTACTTGTTTTGTTTTCCCCATGCCCCAAACAAAACTGGTTCCACAACACGTAGGCGTGAAATTTGCATCGCCAGTCCTTTGTTTTTGCGGGGGGCTGACCCGGTTCCCCTTTGGACCCCTAGATGCAAATCTGACAACAAAAATACTAGCATTGTACCATAAAGTACGTCAAAAGCCGCTTAAAATTTGAGGGTAGACGGCGCTAGCAGCGGCGTAATCGACGATCCCGGGTGAATCATGGAAATGATGTCGGTGTATAGGGAATGAGAGTGAGAGAGCGAGTCGGTGATAGAGTAGCTGATGGCGGAGTTGGGCGGGGTTTATTGTTTACCAACATCAAATTTCTCTCATATAAGGGCAGAGCGAGATGGGGAGAGGTCGTCTCCCGTTCGGGACCAAAAAGAAGCAGCCGGGGGGAGGAGTCGAACCATCCATACGGCTTAACCTAGGTGGTACGGTATCCTGGATTACTGTAGCTCCGGAGCTACTGGCCTAAGACAGTTCTTAGTTTATTTATAATACGTTATTAATGATTTATAGCAGCTAGATGATACTGTAGCTAGCGGCTTCCCGAAAAATCAGAATATACGTCCAGAAAACTACTCTTCTTATCCCAAGGCCATCGAAATCAGAACGTGATTAGCGGAAAATGACTGATATCACCATCAACATCCTCCCCCAGACCCCCAAATCTACTATCCATCATTTTCAGGACAGACCACCGTATACCTAGACTCCACTTTTTTGGCCCCACCACTCCATTTCCTTCCCCCGATCTCACTCTTTCAATTTTCTGCATACCGTCTCGAATCACCCGATCGCGCAAGACTAACCGTTCCTTCGTTTCAGGAATGGCGCAAGTAACACATGTCCATAAGAAATATGACACAACGCACTCGCTCTCCGATTGGAAGAATATTTACATTGTCTCCGTGTTCGCCTTCCTCGACGCATTCCAGTTTGCATTTTTCGTCTGGACATTTTGGCCGTATGTGCAACAGGTTCGTATTAGATCTAAAACTTTTAAGAACCAATATCTTCAGCTCGATCCAACCATCTCCGCCTCGTTCGTCGGATTGATTATGGCAGTTTCAGGGGTTGGAGAAGCAGTGGCAGCACCAGTGCTCGGTGAGTACTAGCACGTTCTTTCTTCCTTTCCCTTGGGGGTACATCAGATAACAAAAGATGGCTCCTTCCGTGATATAGGCCTCCTTGAACCTCGAGAAACCTCACTCGAAGAGGACATTCACATGGCACCACATGTGCAGAAATTTAGTCACATGTGCTCCCGCAAGGCGGCAGTCCGCGCTTCAGCGAGATGAGCGATGAGAGGAGGGGGGCAGGCAGTGGGCGCGTTGGCTGACACCCTGATAGAGCCTGTGTGCGTGCATATGTAGGGGTACTGTAGAATGATAGCATCGTTTCAGGATGGTGGATGAACAAGACCGGAATGGTTGTGCCACCTATACTCGCATCTATTGTATTGACAGTGATTGGGAATGTGATGTATATCACTTTGAATGCATGGCCAGTGCATTTGAGATCCACCGGGTTGTTGGTGTCGAGGTTTTTGAATGGAGCCGGAAGTGGTAAGGGTTATTTTGTGTATTGATAAATGCATTGAGATTAGGAAACCGTGGGTGCTACTTGGCCTACATCGCTGCTGCCTCTGATACCTCCGATCGGGCAAAGTCCATGGGAATGTCTGGTGGAGGAGCTCTTATCGGCCTCAATGTCGGACCAGGTTTGTATATCTATTGAAATTTAAGTAAAGCCTACTTTTAGCTATCCAAATTATGTTCACCTGGATTGGTGACGGATGGAATCTAGGATTTATGCAACTTTCTATGTATACCGCCCCTGCCATTCTTGCACTGGTTATTAACGCTGCATGGTAAGCATCGTTTAAAAAATTTATTAATTTATGAGAATAATCCCATTTGAAATAGATATAAAAAATCCATTTAGCGTCCTGATCCTACTCTTCTTGCTCGACGACAACATCGACCGTTTCAACCCCGAAGATGCCGACACCAATTCGGCTCTGTCGATTGCTGCCGCAAATGATTCGGATTTGGAACGAAACCAAGTAGAGACAAATCGTCTTGACGTCATCGCCGTGACTGTCTGTATGACCACTCGCGCGGCTCGCATGTTTATGACGGCTAATGTTGAGAGGTAACAACAAATTTTAAGGTGATCTAATTATATATTTTAGCATTGGGGCCCCATTCTCGGAACTCATGTTCAACCTCGACAACAAAGAAGCTTTAACCTACAACTCAGCCATGCAAGGCGTTCTTGGCAGCCTGACTGTCGTGATGTTTTTTGTCTACTCGATGACTCCCTACACCAAATGGTAAGAATAAAATATAGAGAGGGTTATTAAATGTATTTTCCAGGGTTTCGGAGAGGTTGAACTGTTACGTGGCTATGGTGTTCCTCTTGATTTTCCATTTGATAACGATGTCTTGGCCTTTCCTTCCTGGTCATTTGGAGAGCTGTGATCGTTTTATGGGAAACGGTGGGTTTCATACATTTTTAAAGTTATATACTGGCTTTCAGTTATCACATTACAGTCCTTCTCATTTTTATTTTCAGGGACTCACGGCTGGGACTGGTGTACCTCTCTTAAGCCTATCAACATGTGGGTCTACTACGTCTCTTACGCCCTTGTCTACGGTATTGGACTACCCTGCCTGAACAACTCGCTCCAATCCCTGTATTCTATGGTTCTCGGAAAAGGACGACAGGTAATTTTAGCACTACCATCATACATTAAATTTTTTCAGGGTCTTATGCAAGGTGTCAATCAAGCTGTCGGATGTATCTCCAGAATCCTTGGACCCATTGTGATGAGGTAAGCATTTATCTACCACCCGCCACCTTAAAGTCCGCCGAAACTCTTAACTTGGCGCGCTTCCTTTGTTTGCAAGAACGACGGGCTGAGAGCCGTAACCCTAACCGCAAACAAACCCCACAGTACCTTCCGTTTTTCAGCACTTCATTCTCTTCCTACGGCCCTCAAGTTAACTGGTTGATCGAGATCGGTCTGATCAGTATCTTCATTGTTATGTGGACGGGTACCTACCGTAGATTGGTACCTGGAGGATATGTCGTCAAGAAAAGGGTTATTCAACTCGCCGGAAAGGGCATCGCCAACCCGGTGGATTCGGGTGATTCGGATAGCTACGACTCGAAATCTACCATCTCGGAAATCCTCCCAGGAGAAACGCTTGAACAAGAATTAGAGCGCATCAACCGCAAACTATCTGAAATTTCACAAAAGTCTGGAAAGGAAAACCAGACTACCCTCTAAACATCACATATCTTTCTTTCTACTGAAATCAAAGCGGTTTTGAATAGTTCATTAATATCTGTTTGACTAACCGCTTCGATTTGATATTCGCCAATTAGAATATTGTATTATTCTACCGATTAAGATTCATTATGAACAATATGAAACTTACCTTCTAAAATCAGGGATTACCACGTTTCCCCCCGTCTAGGCGCCGCTCAGCGCTTTAAGTGACGACCCGTTTTTGCGGGATCTAATTGTCCTAATTTCTCCCACATCATTTTATACACTACGGGTGTCATGCGTAGAACCCAATCCTCAAGGAAAAGCTGTGAATTGTATAGCTAGAATTATTCGCGGGTGATTTAGCCTCCTCACGGATTTGCGATGTGTATATCATTTTTCTTGTACATACTGTGCAGTATTTGTGAATGCGGGTTGTGTGTAATGTTTCTATTATTATATGCATGATTAATAAATACATATAATTATCTAAAAAAACGATAAAAAGAATATACACTCAGACTGACCCGAAACTGACATTTTGTCTCTCGTCTCTCTCTCTCTCTCTCTCTCTCTCTCTCTCTCTGGCTTGAGCTTGAGCTTGAGCACATGAGCTACAGAGCTGTAAAGCATACCAAAATTTTTCTCCCGTTTTGTAAAATAAGAATATACATTTCAATAAAAAAATCGGGGAATATCAAAATAATTGAGGTCGAAAAGTGAACCTCTCGAATGGGTGGGACTAGTTTTTAGCATATCGCAACGTCAGACCCGTCAAAAATAGGGAAATTTTTAGCCGGCCCAAAAACCAAAGAACAAAACCGAGTTAGAACAGAAAACCGACCGTTCCCTAAACGACGGACTAGATACCAAAACCTTTTTTGTTTGTTCCGCCCTACCCCAGAGCCATCCGCTAACAAAGGAAAAAATGGCCCGGTACGTGGGGGTGTTGGGTGGAAGTGCATTCCAACCCATATCCTCCCCTCCCCTCAACTCCTAAAAACGCCTTGTGTATTCCGAGCGGCGGCCCAAAAAACACTCGAAGACGATGATGGTGGGCCCCAGCAATCGTGCCTGTCTGAAAAAAGCGAGCTGTTGACCGAACGGAGAGCGTGGTAGTGCCCCCAGGGGGTAAAGGGAGGAGGTTAGGGGTTTGAGGGTTGCGTGCGTCTCACCGCGAATGGATCATCCCCCCCCCTCTCATCGCGGTTAAGAATCTGACAAACACAGCGCGATGGGGGTCCATATAAGGGCCCAGCCGGGGTTGGAGATTTAGATTCATTTGATAGACGAAGATGAACTCTACCTTGACTGTTGCACTGCTTTTGGTGGCTGTTTGCGGGATTTTGGCCCAGAGTAAGTTGATTTTTAGGTGATAGTTAGTTAGTGGTTAGGAATTTTGTGATTTTGACGTAACATAGCTTATTTGGTAGAGCTTCGAATTCTACACAAGTTCCAGGTTCCAAAAATTGCTTCAAGCTGTGGGTCATCAAGAAAAATATTTGAAAATTTACTTTTTGTTAAGCAGGGGCAAACTGGTTCATTCAGAGCGTTTTTATACAGGAAAGTTGTCGTTCAGCAGTTTTTGACAATTTGTAGTTGTTCAAAAATTTTAAGCTCCATCGAAGGAGCCGTGAAAAATTAAGCTAGTTTAATCGCTTACACCATTATCTTCAGAGAACATCATGAAGCAGGCCGTCGGCCCTTGCATTGATGATGCTTGCCCAATGCCAGCCCACACTTGCTATTATGGACAGTGCGTCCCAACCAGCCTCAAGGTCAAGATGCAGCTCCCCAAGAAGGGTAAGCATCAACTTCTATACCTCACTAATCTACCACCTCTATAGCTGAAGCCATCGGCCCGTGCCTCAACGGACTCTGCCCCACCCCGAAGAGCTACTGCTACAAGAGCGAATGCTACCCGGAGGTATCATCATTTCTTGTATACCCTTTAAATAAAATCCGTCTTAGCCCAAGAACCTCTACGACTAAATGACCTACTCGCGGTTGATTGACTAAATACCGGTACCAACAAATAAATGCATTTTCAATCCTTGTTTTTGTTCCTTCACCGTACCTTGTACTTTCAAAGATTATTCCCCTCCTGCTTCCGGCATTAAAAAGTTATATGGATTTTTAACGACCACTTGCGTCAGCTTGCAGGTTGACCATAAATTTGTCGATGGCTGGGTGAAGCGGATATTTGGGTTATCAGAAATTTACAGGACCTATGATTTTGAGTGACATGTCAGTCGCGTGCCAATTTTTAGACATAAATGATTTCATGGGTGTTTGAGATCGATAGAATTGTTTTTAAAATGTGGGAATTATTGTAGTAAATTATAGACGTAAGCCTGCATTATCTATAGGCCGCAATTTAGTTACGTAGAAGTAAGAGGCATAGACTACTGCGCTTTTTCTTAGATTTTTGGCTAAAATGACGTTTTATATTTTACTTCATGGGTTAAAGGTATAAGCAAATGTGCTGATTTTTATATGTTATTTCCCGTAGGTTACTTCGTGGTTTTTGCTGCTCATAAACGGGTTCCGGTTTATTATTGAGGTGTTTTATTCAAATATCAATTTGCAAATTACCCGACTTTTCGAGCATAGCCGGTTCTCAACCCGGATAAGGCGTAAAATTCGCCCAGATCTATTAAAAAACACAGGAAAACCCATGTTCCAAATTCACCTGCTTTTTTGATAACATGTTTTCGACATTTTTCAGTATGTTCGTAGTGTGTATGGACACGATCCCTCCCCCAAAACCGGGGGCCGGGTCATAAGTTTTGGCATGAGTGACACCTGCGATATCCCGGCGGCCGCGACACCGGTTCCCTGATATTCCATCGGCAGCCCCACAGTGAGCCCATTATTTTGCACCGTCACTCCATCAGGGCGATGCTTTTATTGCTTGTCCTTGGTCTTACTGGGGTTCTGTAAGTTTTGAAGGATTTCTCGGGTTTTGATTAGCGTTATACCTCCGTTAAGCCAAAAAATTTGAACCTGATTATGAGCTTTTTTTAAGTTTAAAAGGTTAAAAGGTAAAAACCATCCGTTAAAAAATTTTAAAATACTTTATAAAATATTGCATGAAAATCTTAAGAAGATACCAATATCCACTCCCGGCTTAATATATCTAAATTTTAGTGCAACCCGCCATACAACCCTAACCCAAGGCCATAGCCCAGAAAAATCCACCGACATCCTGCCAAGCATCTACAAAGCGTAACCACTTCCTCAAAATTCCCCCTCCCAAACCCCCTAATTTTCCAGCTGCTGGGCCAAATGCGATAACAACCTCGGCACCAAAACATCGCAAAAAGCGGTCGTAAATATGATTTCCAGTGACAACGTCAAGCTGTCAGATTTTTGCTGGTACGGCCGGGTCAACAGTTTCAGAACAATGGAAATAATTTTTCCAGGCCCTACGACGAGGCCAGGAAGTGTGCCAAAGCCTGCGTGACAGAAGAGGATCAAGAGGAGTTTTTAGAGCCCTTTTACCGCCGCAACTACTTGGCTGAATTCATTTGCTACAAACATGTCGACCGTTTGTATAGAAAATGAATAAAATTGAGAGGGATCTTTCTAGAATTTGAGATCTACATGCCGTGCTATCAGAACAAGACGACGCTCGAGTTTTTGTTCGACCATTGCCGCTATTTTCATTTGAGCGACAGTACAGCACTGATTGCTGATGCGGTTACATGCGCGTAAGATATTTTATATAAATAATTAACCTTATTTAAATATGAATTATACTTGAATTAATAGCTTTTTTATTTAGCCAAATCGTTTATTCTTTAGAAACATCGATTGTGCTCTAAAAGCCATCCCGCGTGCTATCCAACGTGAATGTCACGACCCGAATGATTGTAAGAACGCTTTTCCCTCGTTTATACAATTTTTTAAGCTGATTTCTCCAACAAAGCCGCCGCACTAATGTTCCGCTTGATCACCGAATTCATCAGCGGACGCCCTCGCCTCATCCGCCTACGGAAAGCCTGCAAACAAGCCGGCTAACACCTCCCCTGTGATGCACCCCCGCGAATACCACCTGTTACATGCATTTATGCGATATACAAAACGGCATAGCATCCCGACTAGAACAAGCAAGAACCATGGGTGACAATGAATAAAGAATCGGAAACGAAGCGGCTAATTCACTGGCAAGGGCCCTGGGGTTGCGGGTTATATTGCTGATTTGGGGGACATTGATTGGGCTGTTGGTTCTGTGGATTGTATTGATTTTGGTTTTGTCCGCCCTGGATGACTTCAATCACTTCAATCACCTCTACGACTTGGGTACCAGCGGGTAGGTTCTGGGTGGCGTTCTGAAGGGCCTGCTGGCATTGTTGCTGTACATTCGGGTCTCGCAGGATTTGTTGCATATTAGGTGCCATATTTTGCTGATTGAGTGGTTGCCCGGGTGGTGGGCACTGATTTTGATTGTTGAATTGGGGTTGGCCTTGCTGGAAATTGGGCGGGCATCCGTTTTGTCGGGGATCGAACTGTGGTTGGCCGGAGAACTGTTGATTTTGAGGTTGTGGTGGGCAGTTTTGGTTTTGGTTATTCATCGGCATGGGTTGTTGGTTTTGGTAATCTTGTGGTCCGCATTGTTGCTGCTGACGCGGATCAAATTGCGGTTGATTTCCGGGCTGGAAATTTTGTGATCCCTGATTGTTTTGGGGCTGGAACTGTGGTTGGTTGTTCGGTTGAAAATTCTGTTGGGGCGGCTGCTGTTGACCTTGTTGGAAGTTCGGGTTGTTCTGCGGCGGCCCTTGGTTGAATTGAGGTTGATTTGGGCAATTCTGGTTACCCTGTGGGATCTGTTGGTTTGGATGAAACTGCTGCTGAGGTCCAGGTTGATAGTTTTGCTGTCCTGGTGGGCAGTTTGGATTGCCTTGCTGATTGGGATTACATTGTTGTTGCCCTCCTTGCTGTCCATTATTATTCTGATTCTGCCCTTGATCCTGTGGAGGATGCCATTGCCATGCCGGGTTGAACGGCGCTTGTCCTTCTAGGTTTTGTTGGCCGGGCGGGCAATTGGCTTGACTCTGGCCCTGCTGATTCTGATTGAATCCTTGGTTATTCGGGTTCTGATTCTGAATTTGATTTTGCTGCTGTCCCAATTGATTACTAGGATCGTACTGGGGCTGGGTTTGGGTTTGTTGCTGATTCGGTGGGCAGTTCGGGTTTGAGGGCGAGCCGGTGTTGTAATTTTGGCACTGCTGGTTTGATTGGGGGTAATTCGTATTAGGTTGATCGTTTAAGGTTTGGTTTTGATTGGGGAATTGGCCCTGGCCTTGGGTTTGGGGCAAAGATTGGGTGGTCTGGGTTTGGCCGTCATTTGAAGTGATCGTCTGGCCATTCGGATACTGGATGTTGGTTTGGTTGAAGACTTCCTGGCCTGAAAAATCTAAGTTGGAAGTTTCTGAGAATTTTTGCTACAGTACTTAAATTAAAGGCTAAATAGCTTTACGTCAAGAACTTATTCAGCAATAGTAATCATAAACTAGAAGCCTTTAGCATTTAAATAACCAACCATTTTGCGATTCATCAATATGCGTATAAACCGTTCCGTCCGCTTGTTTCACCACTATCGCTCGAATCTGAAAAAGCCCTTTTCAAAGTCATATAATTTAACATACCAATGCCGGATTGAAAGGTCCAGTTGAAGGGGCATTCGGATCAACACATAGCGGTTGCTGAAAAAAAACTTAGATTCTCATTTAACTTCACCCTACCTGCGAATCCTGCTGATTTACAAAAAGCGCAGCGACGGATTGCGTGATTTGGTCCATGGTCACGATGGCAGCTAGATGGGCCCCAGTCTTCAGCGGAGATTTTATACCTCTGGGGCCATTTCTCTCATTTGAAGCTGTCAGGCTGGGCCTTCCTGGGTACACATTGAGTCAGGCCTCATCAGCTTTTTTTGGTGGATCTTTACGAAAAGGGGGAACTGCCACTGCAAAGTCAATTGGTCGCTGCTGACCGAGTAAATAGTGAAATTGAGTGTTCAAGCTGGAAGAGAGGGGTTGGGAATCATCGATAATCACCCATAAAATTTAGAGTAGGTCTTATAAATTAGATTTATAATCAATGAATAGCGTTGTTTCATTAGTGCGATAATGAAACTATAACGGCGGGGAAGAGTTTTTTGTTCTAGTTCCCTACCCCACTGATTGCACGGCCGCGCCCGCAAACTGTTTATAAACATCAATTCCTGTAAACTGATCACCAAAATATTTGGTGGGGGGCTAGCGGCATAGCATAAAGTTGGCTGCTCTAGGAAGCTACTTTTCAAAGCAGAAACCATGATTTCTGCGGTTTTGGTGCTGTTATTTGCTACGGTGACCGTCGCAAAATATGCGGTTTGGAATTTATCACATTTTAAACTATCGATGCAGATTCAGAATATAGGCAAAAAAAATCAATATTTCTTTACGGTTTCCAAAATAATCATTAAGTGTTTGTAGCCAACATGGGATTCCATCGATTCCCGCCCACTACCAACCTGGTATGATGACGCAAAATTTGGAATCTTCATGCATTGGGGAGCATATTCTGTGCCAGCCTTCAGGGGTGTCTATATTTTCCTCCGGAATTCTCACTTTTAGATCAGAATGGTTTTGGTGGTACTGGCAGGGGCCCCATCCCGACAAAGCTACCATCGAATACGTATCCAAAAACTACGCGCCGGATTGGAGTTACGCCGATTTTGCTCGGGATGTAAGAATGGCTTGAAAAAAACCACGTTAAAATATCATAGTTCAAAGCCGAGCTGTTCAACGCCGATGAATTCCGGAATATTGTGAATGCTTCTGGGGCAAAGTGGGTTAAACAAGACTTTAAGAGTTGCTTGACTTTAGATATTTTGTACTAACCTCGAAACATCATGAGGGTTTTACCATGTGGCCTTCCAAAACTTCGTGGAATTGGAATTCGGTCAACGTTGGCCCGAAAAGGGATATTGTCGGTATTTTATACTTTAATACCGATATAATAACTTTTTAAAGGTGAATTAAAGAAATCCTTCGCCAAATCCGATATCCATTTCGGACTTTATTTCTCGTTATTTGAATGGTTCCATCCACAATATTTAGAAGACGTTGCAAAGAACACTAGCACCTACGTCCAGGTATCAAATTTTCATCGAGGTTACCGCAGTATCAGCAAGTCTCTTACCCTCAACTCTTGGAAATTGTCAACACCTACGAACCGGATGTTATCTGGTCTGATGGAGACTGGGATATGTCGGAAGATTACTGGAAAAGCAAGGAGTTCTTGGCATGGTTGTATAATGAAAGGTGTTTTTAATTGCTTAGATTTAAAAATTATTTCCAGCCCCGTGAAAGATAAGGTGGTTACAAATGATCGGTGGGGTAAGGGAGTAATGGGAAAACATGGCGGCTTTATGACTTATCAAGACCATTATGACCCTGGTATGACCTTGATGTTTTGAATACAAGCTACATACTTTTAAGGAACGCTTTTGCCAAGAAAATGGGAAAACTGCTTGACGCTTGATAAGGAATCTTGGGGGAACAGAAGGACAATGACGGTATGTTCTTCTTCAACCCTTCGAAAAGATTGATTTACTTACATGTATAGAGCGAAGATGTGCGTACCGCATATGACGTTATTGAACAAATTGCTAGAACAATCTCTTGTGGCGGAAATGTTCTATTAAACGTTGGACCGGACTCCCATGGAAAAATTCCGCCAATTTTTGAGGATCGGTATGATTATGCCGAATTTTTTACAACGTCGATCTAGCCTCCGAGAAATCGGCAAATTTGTGCATGCAAATAAGGATGCCATCTACGGATCGAAACCTTGGGTTCACCAGAATGACAGTGGAAATATTTGGTATAGCCTTCTCAACGATATAAATTGTTTTCAGGTACACCAGCCGACTTCGTTCCGAAGCTACCAGAAACCCACTTTTCAACCCGCAGGATGAGCATGATACTATCATTTACGCCTGGATTCTGGATGTCAAGCACCCGAATTATACGCTCAGCCATGTTAGGGCGACAGATAAGGTAATATAAATTACCGATAAAATAGTTTAGGCAAAATTTTTAGACAAAAATTTCAATCCTCTCCACCGGAACTGTGCTAAACCAATCGAGAACCCAGGAAGGAAAGCTGACCGTTTTGCTAGATCTGGTAATTTTTAGCTTAAAAACAGCCATTTTAATCAGGTGCCATGGCAAACCATCACGAGGTCAGATGTTCTTCTATTAAAAATTGAATATGCCGGAAGTGATACGGTACCTTAAAACCGTATAAACTCAACCCAGGCGTCTAGACCAATCCGTTGAAGAAAGTTTTAAAACAGCCGAAAAGGAAAGTTCAGCGGAATGACCCGGAAAAGCTACGCAAGTATACTTGGACTCCATAAAATACTGTTGGAACTTTTTTACTGCATAAATAGTTTCGGAATTTCGAATATGCTGCATCGAAAAAGACCGAGATCTTTGCTGTCTGGCATTTTCCCCCATCCACCCTCAAGCCGTGTATTTTAAAGGTGTTGATAAGCAGCTGGATCCTATTAGCCACTGGGGCTGAATATGGCTTCTTGTGCGTGTGTTTCCGAACAGTCCTTCCGAAAACCGGAAACCTTCCCCTATGGATAGACGGGTCAAAGGGGGCGTTGAGAAAGTGCTCCACTCTCGCTCGAAATTATCAACCAACCGCCAGCTTTGCCCCTTTCCCCCTTCACCATCTTTCTCTTCCCATTTTTTAGGCAACGACCCAAATTTAGCCGATACGGACCAGCTAGTTCCCATCTCGTTTCCTCTCCCGAACCCTTTCCGACCACGCACTTTCCCTTTATGCGAAAAACAAGAGTTTTTCCTTGAAGACTTTTAACCTGCTCAGCCTAATCCCTTAAATCACATTTTCCAATTCAGTTCTTCGTTTTCAGGATGCTCCTTAGTCTTTTGATATTTATCTATATTCCACTAATATTATGCCAAGAGGCCGCCAAACCAAAACCCTATGAATTAATGGCACAACGATTTATGGCTACACTCCCTGAATTACCGCAAGTAATCCAGGGCCAAATGCAGGGGAATCCAGATGGATTGAAGTGGGAATATCTGAAATTTTCATAGCGTTTTTTTTAGGAAAATGGTTTCTTCTGTGCTTGGAGATAGTCTAATTAGTAAACTGGCGCTGGATCCGGTTGGGACTGCCGAGGGATTAGGGGTCTCAATGGACGCCCTTGGACTTAATAAGACCGATGTAAGCGAGAATTAAATAATCTAGAAATTTTAATTAGGTCATGGCAAAATTAAACAATGCTACAAATGGACTTGCTGGGTCATTTTTGAATAAAGATGGCTCAAAGGCAGAAAGTGGAATGGGATTGCAGTAAGTTTAAGCTCAAGAAAACTATTTATTCCAGAAGAAAGAGTCGGCGTAGAGTCGGTAATAATGTGGGAACGCATTTCAACCCGAAGCTGCTTGGGCATCGCTCAAAATTTTTTAAGGAGGAAACGTAGGGGCACGCGAGTGAGAAATATGCAAATTTTGCCCTGACAATTAGCACGATACACACGTATTGAAATGTTTTGATTTTGATTTGGCTTTTCCACGCAAGCCACTTTTTAGCACTCTTGGGCAAGAACATCGACACTAAAATACAAAAATTTGCAAAAATTATTTTGATTTCTTTTCAGAAACCTTCTATTCGCTACTACCCCTTCAACCACTACAGTAATGTATATGGATGGCAGACCGATAAGTCAAGACGAATTAGAGAATTATATCAAGTACGTTAGCTCCTTTCATTCCTACTAAAATTTAGTAAAAACCGCCCCACCGACCAATATGGCCGTCCGTTTTTCAAATCCCATGAAGCCACCAAACCCCCCATCAATACCACCCCAATGCCATCGGCTCAAGAGGTACGGAACATCACTCCTTGTCACACCTTCAGATTGCCGAATCCGTCCTGTCTGCACTGAAAAGAAACGGAATCACCCAAACCACCACCGCACTCCCACCACAACCATCCGTGGTGGGGCACACACATTTTTAATAGAAAAATACACATTATAAAAATACGCAAAATCTACTTTAGGATACGCTGTCTAATTTTGATATGGGATTGGTTGACCCTGTTCGAATGGGTGAGGTCAATCATTTGCTGAGGAGGGCTCCGCAAAAATTTGGTAATTCATAGTCTTATAACTTTAGGGTTTGATGGATTTAGATACCTTGGATTCAGACGATGGACAATTACCTATCGCGCCTTTGGACCCGACAATCGACTCAGTGCTAACTACACTGAGAACGAAAAGCTTTTCTGGGCTGTCGGTTGGGGTAAGTCTACAAAAAATATCATTGAGCTAAATTTAGGATGTAAAAAAGTTGCAAGCTGCCCTTCAACAATATGAACAAACCTTGCAAACAAAGGAATTATACGCTAAACGAAAGCAGCTACAGGCAAGTGCTCTATAATTAATTCATAAGGCTAATAAAGGTCCTCCAAAATGAACTTATCGAGCAAAAGAAACGCATTGAGGAGCAGCGAAAAATGGAAGAGGAGCTGAGAAAGAAGGTAGCTTTCAATTTACTAAAACAAAACCTCCGATAATTTGATTCAGGAAAAAGAGCTCGAAGAACAACGTATGGAAATGGAGCGCCAACTACAAAAACAACTCCACTCTTGGCATTCCTCGTTTAATGATGCTCCTCCGGTATTGAAAACAAAAAAAAGTATGAAAAATCAGATATTTAGGGATTCGAAATGCCCACCTTGCCACCAATGATGGAATTCGAAGATAATAAAATGCCTGAAATCCCGCCATCACAGGATATTATGATTAGTGATGATGTAAGTAGGATCATAGTTTGAAATTAGTAGTTTTAATTTTAGGTTTTTAATTAATCGTTTTTAGATATTTTTAATTTATAATCTTAGAACCTCCTACCACCACAAGGTTTACCTGAACCAACCCGAGCCCAAATGGAAAGCCCCTCACCTCCAGGCACCGAAGAAAAATATTTTTCACCCCCCAAAATATCGTAAGAGGAAAGTAACGTTAATTTTTTATCTATTTTCAGGGTAAAACCATCAAGTAGCCGCAATTTCTTCCCGGTACCCGAAATCAAAGACGAACTCCCCGAACTGCCCCCTCAAATCAAATCTCCCCTTAGCCAGCTGCGATATGCCCCTAGGCATCTTGATACTACCATTGATACTAAAGAAATTACCATGCCATCAAACTGTGAATGCGTTACGGTATGATAATTCATCACAATGCGTAATCCCCCAAATTTGCAGACCACGATGGAAAAAATGGCCGGTGATTGGTATACCGTACTCGGCTCTGATAACTCGGCCCGAAAAACCCAATCAAATGTTGCCAAACTAATTGGAAAAAGCTCTATTCAGATGCAATGTCAAAAATATGAAAGTAAATTTTTTTTTATATCCAAAAAAATCCTTAAGTAATCGCCTCGGGAGCTGATGAAGGGCAAGTTAATTGGATGTTCAAAACGACAACCTCCAGCAAATTAAAACAAGTATATTCAAATACCATTAAATCTTGCAAATATGATTTTAGTATGCTGGAACAATCAACTCCTTGGATGGTATTATTGCTAGTATGAACTTAAGAAATAGGAAAGGCCGGGAAACTAGTACTCAGTGTAAGTCTTAGTTTTTAATTAATCTTATCTATCCACTTAGTTTGCGTCTTAAAAACAGGAGGAAATTCACGATATGAATATATGGTTACGGTGGATCCAGAAGGTATTTTAATGAAGCTATTTTTGACGCATATTTCAGGTGCTTGTAACGAAGCTACATTATGGGTCCGAAGCCCAGAACATTTCTTCGACCATGACAACTTTGAGCTTCGGAAATATTTGAAACATGTATTTTACCCTTCTTTATCAAAAATATACAATATTCAGAAAATCTCCCAAAAAGAAATGGATCCGATGAACATCTTGTCCTTTGGCGGTGAATGCCGATAGCCCGGGAAAATCGTCTGATTTTATTAGAAATCAACATTCCACTCGTTGTATCTCAGGGAATCTCATGTGTGCAGCATTTTGTGTTTTAATAAAAGTTTGTAAAAGTTTTAAGGTTTTTAAGCTACAAAGTATATAAATTGGGATTCAGATACTTTTAAATTTTATTTTACCTACCTGCGTTACGCGTTTAGGGCAAATGTTTCTGGATTAAATAACGAGTATTTAAATTACGTAATAAACAATCGTAATTAGTACATTAACGTATGAATGAAGTACTTAGGTACTTCATGGCTAAAAATCAATTGTTAGAGGTCAAACACCGCTTAACTAGGTATGTTAATTATTATCACTGTGGAAAGTGTGCTAGTTTTAATAAAAACTAAGTAATAGTTTGTAATAACCCTAGAAATTAATAATTTCCTATATCAGTAAGTACCTTTTTTACTTAAAAAGGGATTTTTTGAAGTGCAAATAATTAATTTAATAGTTTCATCATTTTAATTTAATTTAATAGTTTTGATAGCCTTTATGGTAAAAATTTAACTAAATTATCTACAAAACTATCGAACATTTTTGAAATTTTGGTCAAAAATCGGCCATTTTTGGTGGAAAAATGATTATTATGCTCCGGAATGCTAATAATTAGGTCAATTAATTATCTATCATCACTAACAGATGACCAATTGCCCCTAGGGCTCGTTCATTTCCGACCGAAGAAGTGAGGGGGTCTCGAGGAGAACGGCTGGTGCCCCAATGGTTGCCATGGAATAACGAAATAGTATGAAAACGCAGAGAGCACAGAGTGAGAGGACCGACTCGGCCGGCCGACCCCCCTTCACCCATTCGCAGATGCGCATAGGACAGCACGTACGGCTTGGATGCCTATTGACGCCATTCTCGTCGACGACCTCTCTTCACCCGTACAACTGGATCCCAAAAAGGAATATGCCCTCCATGATCCCTTCGAAAACATAACCTTTCGTATGCAACAGAACCGACAGAATGCCGACCAACCATCGAAAACAGGTGCGCGAGTGTTTGAATAATTTTCGGCTTTTCCCGGGCTTTTTATTAACCTTCCCTACTTTTCTTGGGAAATTTGATAATTTTTGGTCCTTTTCGCCGCTCTAAATACCCAAAACTACATGATACATTAAAATGTTAGAAATTAAGTTTTTCAACTATCCAAACTAGGTGCGCGAGCTTTGGAATCATTTCCGGATTTTCCCCAGCTTTCTCTGCAAATTTAGTACTTTATAGATTTTCCTTGGTCTGATTATCGATAACTACCTGCAGAAAACGCTAGAAAATTAGTCTTAAGCCAAAATCTAATTTTTTTTACAGAAATTTTTAAAGCCGGACCTTTTTGCGACGGTTTCAAATGTTTCTTTGTTTTAACACTGAGAAAGACTTTGCAAAGCGGCTTTATTTCTGCTGTTAGAAACCTGCTATTGATTTTAACTCTAGGAATCCTAGAGCCATAGATTATCTATGTCCCAATTCATTACTTTTTTCAGATGTTCCCGGCACCATCGCCTCCGTGCCGATGGTCAAGGCCCATCTCAGCATTCCCACGTGGTTTCTGTTGTATGAGGAGAGGAAAGTGATGAAGAGACCATGCAAGATCAACGACTATGAAGATATGCAGCGGAAAATTGCAAAGCCCAAGACCATCAACAAGGATATCGTGTTTTATGCCGATGTCTATCCCCAACTGGAGAAGCAGGAAGAAGATAATATGGAGCCGATGCGATTGAAAAATGGCTATATTGTGGGTTTATACCATTGACGGTTATCCGGGGGGTGGAAACAGCTATTTTTTCGATGGATGGATGCAAAAAAATTCTGACGACATTTTTGGCAACTGTCCGCCCCTGATCCTAAATCCCAGCAGATAATCCAGCATAATCCAACCTCTTTTTTGCAGCCAAAACCCATCCCTGTCGAACACGAGTCGTTTGTCTATCATCAGAAGAAGCTGTGCATAGAAAAATTGGACAACGGATTTGCACTCGCCAAGCAATATTTGTACCAGGTTGGCGTGCAGGCGTGATATAAATTACCACAAAAGCTCCAGGTCAACTCTCGCCGTTACGATGGCTGTGCAGGAATTCAAGAGCGAGAAAGGAAACGCGCAAAAGAATCTTGCAGCTACCTGGTTGCCCCATCGTTGAGGGTGGATCAAGGTCTTTGGGAGGTATATCCGCTATCTAAGCAGCTCTTAAAAAAATTTTTAGACGTTCTGCCGAGATCGAATAAAATTCATGTGCGATGTGATGCGAGGAGGGCAGATCCAGTCGGCCGTCAAAAAGCCTCAAACTTGGATTTTCAAAGAAGATCTACTCGAATGGTTGTGGGCATTTAAAATGGACCATTGGAGGTATAGATTTCTGAGATCCCGAGACCCAATGGTTTCAGGGCGTGGCTACTTCTAAAGCAATGGGCTTGCATTTCGCTCTATGCCACCCCGAATTCAAGCAAAGCAAAGAAGACTATTATTGATACGATACCAACAGGTAACATTTATCTGCCGGGCTAACAAAGGTTTTTTTTAGAATACCAGTTCCTCCTTGCGACAGAAATCCGTGATTTGCTGTATGATATTGCCGTCGTTGATGTCGATCCCGAGAAAAATGAAGAGAAAAGAAGGAAACTACAATATCTCTGTTATTTGGCGAAGCACGGATTCGAGGTGGAATATTTCTTGAAAGCTGAATATTTCGTCTTTTAGGAAGGTGCGCTCGATCGCCAGGAATTTTTGACGTCGCTGTGCAATATTTTTACTGAAGTAAGTTTAAGTTTCAGAAGAAGAATTTTTTTAGATATTTATAATGCGAAAATACGGAAGACCTGATACATGGCAACAGTTTCAACTATTTCTGATGTTCTTCACCGGCTTCACGGATCGGGTAAGAGTCGCCCTCAAGATTAAAATATTCCCATTTTAGTACGCCCGAAACTATTTGCTGGCGCGACGTGCGGCTTATTGTATCTGCCAAAAACTTAAAATGATCAAGGAGGAATGGGAAGATGATGAACCCTTGTAAGTTTTTATCGAACTGCGTCTGTTTCCTTCTATTTCATCAATTTACCCCGGTTTTTAGCACTCCTATGTCTGAAGCCGCGCCGAATCTCGAAGAACAAGCTCCTCATGGAAACGGTGGCGAGGATGGATACTACAACCAAGACAGACGATACTCGGATGAAGATAACATTTCTTTACTGAGCATCCCGGACATGGATTTCGATGATGCTTTTGAACTGGAAGCACTCGAGAAGGAGCCTCTGCTATCCGTCGAAGACTCTGAACCTCCAAGACCGATGACCCCAACACCGCCGCCTCAAATCCTAAAGCCGTACTTCAAAACCCCGTCCTTCGATATCCCGGAAGCGCTTTCAAACGAAGCCCCGGGTTCGATCGTGAAAATGGAGCCAGATGATGAACATAGTGCACATACTCCGGTTGAAGGAATGTCTGGCACCTCAATTCCGGGCACTCCAGGGACTGTCGAACCGACCACATCTACGGATGCTGCTGACCAGGGTGGAGAAGCCGACAAAGAGAAGGAGAAGGAGGCACAAAAGCCTCGAGCGCCGAAAATTGTCCGCCCGCCAGGCCCTTATGACCCGCTATTGGACTGTGGGCAGAAACGAGACGTCACTTTGTTGTTGTCACAGATGCTCCAATGTCTGTGCATGGAAATTCCGGCTGCGATGGTTTGGAATTGTCACAAGGTAATAATTGTATGGTCAGAATCAATTCCCTTTTTTTCAGGTAAAACAAGATCATGATCCCTATATGATCCAACAACTCGTCGGTTCCCCACTCGATCCGCTGCCCTGCAAAATTTCGGAGCTGCCGTTGCCTCTCGACCTTCCGGATCCTGGAATGTGAGAAAAATTTTTTATATTCGATCAAATTTGTCTTTGTTTCAGGATCTATCAAATGCTGGAAGATCTCCATGATGATATTGTTCAGCGCTCCGAAGCTGCACGTCAATCGTGGGCCTACAATCAGGAGTACCAAGAAGATCATGGTATCATACATTTTCTTATAAATCCGAATTGTAAAAATTTCAGCTCGACTGGCAAGCACGGCATTGAAAATTTTGGGGATCCTCGACAAGGTTGACGTTCTTGAACCGCTGGCGGTTGAAAGGTATTTGAAGATCCCATAAACCGTTACAAAGCGTTTAGAACTGCCGAGGAGCTGTTCCCAGCCAAGATTTATGACTGCGAACTAGAAGTCCAGTTGAGATTGAAAGTGATGGTGCAGTGGGCGATTACCGTAGAGCGTGAAGGAACCTATCGGTCGATTTTTGTGGCCAAGGTGGGTCTAATAAATTTTATTTATTGAGCGGTATTTTTATCTTAAACCAAAAAGCCATTTCAGATGCTGGCTCATCAAATGGAACTACAAAACAACGAATTCTTCCCCGGAAGGTCCTTTGAAGATATGTTCATCCAAGTATTGGAAATCGAGGTAATTATAGCTAACTAAGTAGTGGGTTAATTGTGAATTTTAGGGACCGTTCCCAAGGGCGCCAAACTACCGACAAGAATTTGGAAATCTCATGCTCCTCTTCCTCGAGATGATCAGGTTCCACGTCTTCAGCCATGATCGGTCATTTAACCTAACGATGATTACCTATTGTTAAACTTTAGGTTTTTGAAAGAACAAATCCGGGAAGAGCGCGTCTCATACTTGAACCCCATCCTCGGTCGCGTCAAGTACTGGATGTATTGCAACCCGATGGTAAGACGATCAGAGCATCTTTATAAATTTGAGTTTAGCACGAAAGCTACTATCCACAGCCCGCCAAGGAGCCGGTCAAGACTGAACTTTGCCAGTTTCCAACCTCGAAACCCTGCAAAAGAATGTTCGTGGAGGAGCCTGATATGGCGTTACTGGATCGCTTGATGATTCAGGTTAGTTTAGAGTGCTTCTAGTCTCGATTAGAATTTACCTAGAAAACTGGTTTATACAGGGTGTCCCAAAAAAAAATGGCCCATTTGGCATTTTGCCGTGTTACATCCAACCGGGCCCCAAATTGGACGAGAGGTGTATCAGACCCTAAATAACAACAATCCTGACTTATAGCCCCGTAGCTACAGTAGTTCTCAAGTTATGGCAAAAACAAACTTTATTTTCCATTTTTCATAGGGTTTTCGTGGAATTAGACCCCCCTAAACATCAAGTGAAAATGATCCGGCAGCCCTTCTATGCCCTAAGAAATTTCCAGAGTAAAATAATTAAATAAGCTTCGATTTAAGCGATTTTTACAACGCAAAATTACGCACGTTTTTAAAAGGCCGTTCGCGGCTCACCCGGCCTGTCCCCAATATGGCTTGGTACAGTTTTTTTCGAGCCTGTTTTTTAACGTCATCTGAAAGAGCATAGTCGAGATTGCAAAAAAGAGCAAAACGAAATTCAGCTTTTTGGAGGGGGCTGGGATTGAACTGGCGCCAGCTCCGGATTGGCACGCCGACGCTCTACTGACTGCGCCACAGGGCTCCCAGGCACACGACCCGGGTTCGATTCCTGCCGGATTTCAGACCCCTTTTAAAAATGTTATTTCTTTTTGCTCTTTTTGCAATAGCTTCAGCTCGTCTTCTAGATGTGTTCTCATGCTTCAAAATTCGAAAACTTTTTGTTATGCATTTTTCGGGTACATTTTTGGTGTGTTTTGAGCGTACTAAATGGAATATTCCAGCAAATGGGTGTCTGGCCGCCTGATAAAAGATACATCAATCAATGCGAAAAAAATGGCGCATCTTTCTATGCTAGTCTCATGATGCGGCCGAACACCCATCAAGTCGAAAACTGCAAAAAACTGTCTTTGGTACGCATTCTGCATATGTTCCGACCATTTTCGTGCTTTGCAATGTATTAGCAAAATGATCCTCATCCCAAATGAGGCCTAGTCACAAAATTTCAGCCCATTCGGCCCGGTAGTTTTCGAGATAATTTTTTGAGGTTTGCCACTTTAGCGCCAAATTTAACTAGGAAAATAAACTTTTGAACATCTCAAAATAGTGCCACCCTACTAATTCGACTATGCTCTTTCAGATGACGTTAAAAAACAGGCTCGAAAAAAACTGTACCAAGCCTTGTTCGGGTGACCCGCGGACGGCCTTTTAAGCGAAATTAGGGATTCACAGCCGGAAGTCGATGCAAATCGATGCAAAGTCCAAAAAGATAGCGAAAAAACTGTTTGGAATTGCGTGAAAAACAGTATTTTCGCTATAGTGAAGCGACCACGTAGCGTTCAGAGGTATTTCTGGTCGGGTTTTAAGTTGGGAATGCTGTGGGAGTATGACGTGGGGGATTCGGATAACCCGACTTCATCATTCAAGGTCATGATAGTCATTCGGCTTCTGACTTCCGGCGTTCCGACATCTTGCCATACAAAATAAAATTGAAGATCATGTTACACAACGATTATACAGGGTGTCCCAAAAAAAACGAACCATCTGGCATTTCGCGGTGTTACATTCAATCGGCCCCAAATTGGACCAGAGGTGTATCAGACCCTAAATAACAACAATCCTGACTTATAGCCCTGTAGCTATCGTGGTTCTCGAGCTATAGCGAAAATACTGTTTTTCACGCAATTCCAAACAGTTTTTTCGCTATCTTTTTGGACTTTGCATCGATTTGCATCGACTTCCGGCTGCGAATCCCAAATTTCGCTTAAGAACTGGGTAGTTTTGCGTTGTAAAAATCGCTTAAATCGAAGCTTATTTAATTAATTTTACTCTGAAAAAAATTTCTTACGGTAAAGAGGGCCTACCGGATCATTTTCACCTAATGTCTAGGGGGTGTAATTCCACGAAAACCCTATGAAAAATGGAAAATAAAGTTTGTTTTTGCTATAACTCGAGAACGACTGTAGCTACGGGGCTATAAGTCAGGATTGTTGTTATTTAGGGTCTGATACACCTCTGGTCCAAATTTGGGACCGATTGGATGTAACACGGCAAAATGCCAGATGGGTCGTTTTTTTGGGGACACCCTGTAAATAAAAAATCGTTTAGGTCCCTCTTCCACCAATGGAAGAATTTTCCGCTGAACGAAATCAGCGCGCAATATTCTTGTGCGGATTGGATGAGGAGCGCGAAAAGGCGAAAGAATATTTGAGATCTGTAAGTTTTCACCTGAATTTCAATGACCTTCGCTTTAGGTTCTAACCCACATTGCGAAAATCTGGAATCGCAAGGCATGCGCATTGATACCCAATGTTCAAGATGGTCGCTATTATCATCAGGTTAGCAAATCGAATGATAATTTAGGCGATTTAGGATTCCATCATCTACAAATCGCCGCGTAGCAGCTTCGAGGAGATCTTGGAGAAGTTCTACCAGTTGACCTATCACGATCAGGTGAGAGTACTACGCGATTCCTGCAATTCCAATTCTTCTAGGTGCTGGTCGCCCAAATGAGTGCCGAGCTGTTCCTCGACCAACTCAGGGAATTCATCCGTTGCGATGGCGGGGAGATCGCTATTCAAGAAGCTGTCGATGTCATCTGCTCGCTTTTCGAGACATCCCAATACATCTTTGGAATTCTCGAATTCCTTTTAAAGGTGGAAATACAGTTAGCGTCAAAATTACTGGCTTTTTTAGATGATCCCTCTACTCCAGCAGGTCGAAGGTGTAGTCTACCGATCCACGGTCGATGTCATCCCTGGCGCTGTGTCTTGCCAGCTGGCGAATGTTTGCGTTGGATATCTTGCAAAGCATTGGAATTATTTTATCCACTGTCCCGAGGCCAGCCAGATTATCAATGGGTCAGTTGTAAATAAATATTTTTATGTTTAACTTGTTTTAGCCTCTACTTCATGATTGAACGCGAAATCCGGGCGCGAGACTACCCAATAACTGGCTTTGCCCGTGCCATCGCTGTATTTATCCACCATGCGGCAGAACAGATGATGAAAAGTGAAATGATCAGTTTGGAGGAATATTCCGGGCGTCATGCCGATTTTGGGTAAATTTTATTGAGTTTATCATTAAATTCGTATTTAGCCATATTTTCTTCCACGGCCACGGCATTACCAGCCACAGTGTGCGATACGACGAAAATTTCTTCAGCGATCTGTTTGCGATGGATAATCTATATGAGCAACAATTGTAAGTTTTCTATGATCCGGCAAAATTAACTTGATGCTTTTAGCCTATTCATCAGCTACCATGAATACAAAAAACGGATGCACTTGTTCGACAATGCAAGCAACAGATACAGCTTTGTCGTCAATGCGATCAAGACGGCCGTCGAGCTTGGAATGGAGCACACAATGTAAGTATTTCGAGCATAAAATAAACTCTTTTTTTAGGCTAAATCATCTAGCCTGTATGTGTGCAACGTTCACAGCGCAGAAGCCGATATTGGCTGATGACTGGTTGGCAGCTGCTCGAGCTCTGTGCTGCTCCTCAGCTTCTTCCCATCATGGATATGGCGATTTGTTGATGTCACTTGATGTAAGCTTACTTACTCTGTGAACCCAAAATTCTTTTTAGATAACGAACTGTTCGATCCACTACCCAATTGCCACCTTCTTCACGCTACTGGCCGCTAAATACGCCTTCTCCGTTCCAAGGCTGATCGCTGAGATGTTGCACCAAGTCTACCCCGCTGCTCTGAAGAAAGATCTAGGTAGTTCTGGTTCTCAAAATTCTCAAAATTCAGTTTTAGACCGCAATCGTGACCACGAATCGGAACCCGGCCTCTGCTTGGCTCTCCTGCTAATGGCCCAATTGACTTGTGCCAATGATGAGCCATTGAAATGTTTGTTTCCTTCGTTCAAACACCTTTTCTGGTTCTTTTTAGATTCGCGACACTACAATGGCGACATTGGGAATGATAAGCTCTACAAAAGCTCGTCCGAGACTAATTACCTCCATATGATCCATCGAACGGAGATGGTCACCGTCCTCTTCCCAATGCTGGCTAATATCTGCATAATGGTCGACACATTACGAGGCCGATTGAAGGATGAAAAGTAGGAAATATAACTCATGACCATCACTGTTTTAGGCTTGAGCTAATCGAGGCCGAGAATTCACCATATCGACCACAATACCTGATTACGATCATTCGTAAAATACAAACAATTATTTGCGAGCAAGAATGGGTCACTGATACGATGTTCAAGGTATTTCCAGAATCAATTATTTTATTTTTGTTGTTGTAGGTTGTCAGCTCAAAGGGAATGGATGCTTTCAATTCTGATCGGCTGAAGCAGAATTGCCTGGTAAGCCGGCGTCATCGGTTTTTAATTTGCGTTTTAGGGGCAACAACTTTTGCGAATTGGTCTGCGGCGAAGCCATGAGCGCCACGTGGTCGAGCAATTGTCTAGTTGCAACGGAAATTCGAAGAAGGTTGGCTTTGCCACCCCCGCCTTAATATTTTGTCATGGTTTTAGGCATTGATTGACAAATTGCTGCAAACTCTCAATTTCTGGAACTTCCGTGCCACCTACTACGATTTGGGGCTGATGATCAAGGAGGTTGGGCCAACGTGAATAAGCTAGAGCTTTGCTTTGTTATAGATTTCACCGGAAGTTATACCAAAGCATGGCCCGCCACCTCCACCAGCAGCGGACGCTCTTCTAGAAGAGGTTTTTGCACTTCAAACAATAATCTATTTGTTTTAGATCGCCAAATGTTGTCGCGATCTCTTCCTGGTCAACTACAAACAAGGAATCCCTTGCCCAGTTGCTCAGGTTTGTTTCACTTCACACTTCATGCGCGATTCTAATTTAGCCTGTCGAAGAATTCCGCCTTTGCGATCTGACCAACTTCTGGCTACTACCATCGCTGGTGGCGTATTGCCCGAAGCCATCTTCAATTTCCGCATCGACTTCGACAAGCCGAGTAAGCCTAGATCCAAATATTTGGCATCGACCAATTAGGTGACGACGAAATTCCTGAAGGAGGCTGCTGCAATGATTCATACCGAGCCTCCGACCCACCAAAAGGGAGAAAAGCCCGAACCCGTTAAACCAGAGATCCAGCGAGAAAAGCATATGCAAAGGTACTTGAATAGCTCATTAGCTAAATTCCGATTTTAGCCTTTGGCTGCTCTGCCAGCAACCTTTCATCCAAATGATCGCCACTTGCCTGGAAGTTGATGGCAAGAAGCACAAAGAGCACTTTATTGTAGCTCTGCATAAACAAATGAACGATCAACTCAAGAAAGTCCAAGAGGTTTGTGGAATATCGTGAAAACGAATTCTACCTTATTTTCAGAATCCTTCGCTGGCTTACTCGGGAAAATTCGAAAATGAGCGCAAAGGAGTTCTTCTTCGGCTGCACCTCGTCGGCAAGCTGTTCAAACACGTATGTTTATTATGGATTGAATATTTCTATATTGTCGATTAGATCTGTACGCAAACCCAAGCGGAACCATGGTCCGGCTTGCTCTTCAACCTGATGGTTTTCCGGATAGTGAAACCGGATTCGGAAGTGTACGTAGAATTTTTTCAATAGAATTGTTTTTTTCAGGTTCTTGTGGGAGACTGTGTACGACATGGTTGGAAGCATGCTGATTTGGGGATTGATTGATCCGAAGGGAATTCAAACTGTGAGTAGTTAGAAAAATAGTTGATATATTTTGTTTTCAGCTTGGCTACGCCCCGATGCAAGAATGGCCCGAAAATCGTTATCGTTACAAAACCTACTTGAGCATGTTCAAAGGCATCAAGAAGATCCTTGGAGGCCCTGTCCCATTGAAAACATATCATGTAAGCCAGCCTTCATTTCATCCATGCCCATTTAGCATTATGGAAACGAGTCTCGTCGCTTCACGGATACGGTAGTTCAAAAGCAGCTGAATGCCTTCCTCGCCTTCCCAAAGCACAGCCTAAATCAAACTATGGTCGACTTCTGGGGATTAAACCCGGGCTCTAAGGTTTTATTTGAAGAATTACTATATTGTAACATTGTTCTAGCAGAAGATGAAAAGTGTGCCAAATGCATTCGTTCCAACCACTCAAGCGCAGATCCATACCGACAAACGAAGAGGAAAATATTCGACTCTGGTAAGGAAGTTATGCACTTACCACGTAGAATTGCTTTAGATTGGTTCCTATTTCGTGGCAACGAGACGTGTGCGCTCCAACATCTACGACTACACGCCATACTTTGTGCATGAAACGCGCGGATGGACCTACGAGAAATTAGGGGTAATCACATTTCAAGAAAACTATAAACAATTTTTTTCAGCATTCCCGCTCCGACTACATGCCTCGATTCGTCCAGGAATTTATCCAAATAATGACCCCTCACCGCCACCAGACGGACTTTTTCCGGCCAAATTATATGCCGGTGCGAGTTGATTGTTTTAATTAACTTTTTCGACATTTCAGAGCGATTCCGACCCAACGGCTGACACATTCCTCAACAGCCCTGCCGTCGAGATCACTGACGAACCAATGCCATCGCCGACAAAGGTAGACATTGCTCGCCCTATTCTGCAAAATCAATTCCCTTTAAGCCTGGACAAAAAGCCGCCGAAGCCAAGAAGCAACAGCAGAAGAAAGACAAAGAGAAAGAGGACCAGGAAAAGGAAAAGGAGGCCAAGGAGAAAGAGGTAGTTGACTAACCCAGTACACTCACCCCCAAAAATTAGCATGTACCAACCATAAACATAGTTTTTCATGATGCATTCAACCGCAAATTTTCCCCCTTCTTCCCCTTTCCTTTTCGTCATAGTGAATTGTGTTCAGAAGCTGATGTCACCACCATCTGCCACCTCGGCCCAGGAGAGCCCGAAGCCCGCCGCACCGGTAGCCGAAGCACCAGATGTCAAGGTCTCCTATTCTGTCCTTGTTTAGCAAAGAAAGCCATCGAGGAGGGTTGGGCGTTAGAAAAACCTTTTCAAAGTCAAGTCCTTTTTCAAAACATTTTTGTGAGTCTGTTCGTATTTGCCATCTGATCTGCAATATTTTTTTTACCTAATAAGGAGACGTTTTTAGGGTTTTGCAGAACGAGGCCAAGCCTATTTTTCGCGCTTTCAAGTTGCATCACTTTATAATCTCATCGTTTCGCAGCTGCTAAAAAGCACGTTTTAATCGGCAAAAAATTCTAAACATGAAAAATCGCGTCTCTTTTCGAAAGTATCTAGATACCAAAAAACCGTCTCTTTGTAAGCTCTCATAGTAATTACTCATTTTTGTTGATCCAAGTGGTTCGATCCTAACATTTTCGACGTTTTTCATGCGGAACCCAGCATTTCTATACCCCAGATCGCCTAACCTTCCCATCACCCCCGCTCCTAACTTTTCACTATTCAATCCGTTTTCAGCCACTGACCAAGGCCACTGGAGCTGGCCGAGGTCGTCGGAAGAGCACACAAGGCACCGGCAGAACGGGCCAAGGCCGTCAGAAGAAGGTGCTTCTTCATTTCTTATACAATATGCTATCCACTAATGCACCCGGGCACCGTTTCCCCATACTGACCTCTTTTTTAGACGGCGGCCGCTGTGGTCACCCCTACGACTCCCACCAATCCGCCACCTTCGACGACGCCAAGTGCCACCGCTCAAATCCCACCTGCCTCACAGCCAAGCGGTCCGAGTCAATACTATCAACAGCAACAAGCTAATTGGCAAGCTCCTCCTGGGTATCCGGTGACGACAACAGGCCAAATGGTAGGTCATTTTGTATCTGGTTTATTATATTGGTTTTGTAGGGAACAAACGAAGAAACCCGATCCCGCCTCCAGCATATGATTAAGGCCAAGTCGGAAAATGCAACAAACGCTCAAGGTAAGTGGCTGTTAACCACTCATTCGATTCGCATCCCACCCCCCATCTTCCCAACCCGATAGCGCCTGATTTTTCGGCACGTTTTTGTGTGGACATGCTAATTCGCTTAACCCGGAACGCCACGGAGAGACGGTGGCGGAAAGAGCAATTTTTCTGTTCACCTATCGCTAGCATCATTTCCCCTGGCGCAACCAGAGTCTATCCCTTTTTGAAACGAGTGTGTATGTAGGCTTTGGTGGTGGCTCAGGCTGTGACGGCTCGCCGAAGGAGATATCGGCCCTGCAGACGGCACTACTTTCACCAGACCCATCCAGCGGTTGGTCTGCCCCCTACGTTCATCAACACAGTTTGCATTTGCATTTTACTGCTGTTTGGCTGCGTTGTTATTTTTTACGAGAAGCCTGCAATGAAATGTTGCCGTTTTCTAAGTAGTGCATGTTTTGGAAGCCCAGCTTCAGCTGTTGTGGCTAAGGAATTTTGGCCTTTTACCGTATGCAGAAATGTCGAGAAAACGCGGAAATACATATGACGCAATCGACTTAATGATTTTTATACATAGTTAAAAATTATGAGACGTAAATCGCTGCAGCAACAATTCATTAGCACGGTCTGCCCAAATCCCGACTCGCAAATGTTTGCCCTTTAGTTGCACAAGGTCATTTTTGAAAATCTGAAACAACAATAACACAGCGTTACCCCGAAAGCTGCCCGCTAATAAGCCTAGCTAATGAACACCCGAATTGAAGTGTCACCCTACGAACGGCAAACCGAAGAACGATATCAACGCGACGACGACTCGTCCTCGGAACCCACTAACATTCCGGCGGCCGGCGTGCTCGGTTTGTTTCCCCCAAACACCAACCATCAATACCTAGCTAGCAATCATTCCCCTGCCCCATTAATGCGTAGTACTAAAAGCAATGCATCCGCAAATATCATACATATAGTTCTAATATTTCTAAACCATTAATATTAATAATAATTTTTCCGCGCAGGCATGAAATCAGATATAGAAGCTTTTTCGCCAAACATTCCCAAATTTTAATCCGCGCCGCGTGGAATTAACTACCAAATAGCATTTTTTTTTGCTATTGCTTGTCGTCGCCTTTTCCAAACCAGCATGTTGTTGACGTGTATCGATTTTCGGCTTTTCTGAGATAATGGCATTCAGCGGCTCAACAACAGCAACAGCAGAGCATGAGCACCAGCTCCGGATATAGTGCGGCCCAGCAACGGACTGGCTTCCCTGATCATACGAGCAATGAACGACATCGAGGTTCTGCCTTAATTTTCGGGATACCCAATCCATGAATGGCTTGTGTACATGGCGCTTTTTAAATTTGCCGTCTACAAATTTCAGCACGATAGAGAATTTGGTTTTTTGGAAGAACGTTTGCTGTTGTAAAGATTTTAGAACACCATAATTTTGGGCGGTTTTTTAGTTATTAGATTATTTCGGACCGGAACAAATTTCCTTTTAGAATACTACATGCAGCAACAACAGCAACATGGCGCCGGTCGATATTAAAGAAAACTTATTCTCATCACCCCCATTAATTTTCTATTAGTTCTCAATAACGACTTTCTGTACATTCGTTGAACCTACTATTGCCGAATCAACATGCTGACAATTTTTTATGTAACCTAACCAATATTGTGTATAATTTGGCGCTTACTGATGATTTCAACTATTTACGGTGTGATATCAGGCTCAGTCAATACGGGATAAAGTTCTTTTTGTCAAAAAGCGGGCCTGATTAAGCTTTAACGGGAAAGAAGCCCCGAATTATTTCCCAAATTTTATATCGTCGTTTGCATAGTCTTTTAGAATTTCTGGATGGCCAGAAACAATGGCACAATTGATCTAAATGGCAAGAAAAGGGTTTTTATACCCAGAGATTATAGCATTGGGATACAAGTGAGGTTCAGCACGGAATTTCCGGAAGAATTGATTCGAAAAGTTGGTTTGAAAAAATTAAACTGACTCTTTCACGCATTAGATTGACGAAAATGCGTGGAAGGATATTATTATGGAATTAAATGCAAAATATTCTGCACTAGAGGGCGTCTCAACCGCTTCGATTATTGAGACTATACTTGGATGCGCTTCCTGCTACTTGATTCGGTAGGTCAAAAAAGTAACTAATTAATTGCCTTTGATAATTAGCTGTTGCACGGTACCGCTTTGTGAAAAGAAAATGAACGAAGTGGGTCGATTTATCGACGAGCTGAATCAGGACGTTCTTGTTCCGAGAGGGCTGTATTTGTCCAACCCGATGGAACGGGGGCTTCGATGTGTGAGTTCAATGATTAGAATTTAGGAATTGAGATAATTTAGTTAGAGGTTACGGTGCTGAATGAGGACGCTGAAGTTGCGCCCGTTGTAGCTGAACCTGTGAAAATTACGACGCCACTACAGCCTAGGCTTTAGGTAAGGGTCTTGGAAATGATAGAAAAAGAATTAAATACTACTCCTATAATATAAGACTACTGCTCCGGGATTAAAATTACTTTACAATACGGGATTTCTAGACCCTAAAATCATTTCCTCCATTATGCCATTAATTAATGCGTAAAATTACTACACCATTCTGCCCTGGTCTTAACTAAGTTTTGTAGGATGGAAATATCACTGTCCCAGCTTTCCATTAGCACGTGAGTGTCTGGCCGGCTGATCGGCTATAGTGGCTGACAAGTAGCTAGGGGGGAAGAGACAAGTCAAACGGGCACAACTGTTCCCGAGACAATGACCACAACCCATATCGTGGCCTTTCACACCTATCCACACACTTACAAACGGACACACTATAGCTTTCTGAACCCAGACACCTTCAATGGCATGAAATGAAAAGAAAGATGAAGCATCCGATGACTAAAAACGTGTTCAATACGCTTCTACAAAAGTGACGCGCTTCTGAAATGTTGGTTATAAAAGGGTATACTTTCAATAAGACTCGCTATACTTTTAGACTTTTAGCGCTGATCTTATTCAAATAAATTCGGCCCTCATATCCGGACTTGATTAAGTAACTTTAAGTTATCCTAAATCGGCCCTTACAAGTCAAATAGCCGAAGTTTGTGTGAAAACATCAACGTGCGCGCTTTTCTTATGGTTCTATGCCGAAAAAACAGCTTTACGTTTATTTGCATGTAAGAATTTGGAGAATTAAATAAGAACCTGGATTGGTCAAGATTCTATCTTCCCGAGATTTCAGCGTAGATTTGATTTCAATAAATGGAACTCTATTTTTATTCCAAACCTTCAGTAGTCCCCGGCAAAAATTTATAGCCTATATAATTTCAAAGCCACCGCCGCTTCAGCCGTTTGATAACATTTCACGCCCAAAAACAAAAACCCTCACATCTGGCGCTCCGCTATTTTTGACCTATCCCCAAAATACCATGACTATAGTCCGGGGCACTATCCATCCAGACATTCGCTTTGGCGGTCCCAGAGTTTTTTGTTTCTTTTGTCTCGCAACACCTTCACCCATTAGCCCACATGTTCCAATCAAGCACCAGGGGGGGGAGTCAAGTCGAACGAAAAACACACACACGAAAGTGGGAGGGCACCCGATGGGGGACGATTAATGTATTGTACGGTTTTGTCTCGCCCTCGCCGCTTAACGGGTTGTACATCGTCGTTTCTCAATGGCCACACTCGGATCAAGCCTGGGCCTCCCCCACCCGAGACGAGAAACCCCAATCACTCTTCCGGCGCCTCTTAGTGTCATGTTGTAATCAGGAGCACGACCCCTAGCAAGGGGGGCAGGTTGCCTGTTTATTGTTGGGTTGCGTAGTTCGGGGTGGACTTAGGCTTAGGCCTAGGGTTATGCTTAGGCTTAGGGTTAGGCTTAGGCTTAGGTTTAGGCTTAGGTGAGACTTAGGCTTAGGCTGAGTACACGCAGCTACAGAGGACCCCGAACCTTCCGCCTGGAAAATCGGCCGTTTTCTAGCTGATCGGGGCCAATTTTCAACCGCGATGGGTGGCTATAAAAACTGAGTGCTGTCGAATTTACAAAGCAATATATTGCAAAAAAATTTTTATAAGTAAAAACGGAGTTTTTCAAAACTTTGGAACTTAACATTTTGGGTAATTTTCGCAAAAACGTTCCGTCTGGCCAGTTTCTGCCTAATACGATGATAAAAGTGATTGGAAGCCTCGATTTAAAACATAATTTCGTAAATCAAAAAAACTGTCAAGATAGAAAAGCGTGCCCTCTTTAATGTGACCAGTTATCTAAGGGTCGTAATCCGTCAAAGGCCTGGTGAAATTAGCAAAAACATCCTAATTTGAACATAATTTTTTGTTTACAATATTTTGCATCGTATATTTAACCTGTGTAGTTTTTACAGGCCCGCATTACCGGTAAAAATTTGAACCCGGTCAGATATAGCAGGACAAAACACCAGGGGAAGGAGAGGGTGTGGTATACCCCCGTACATACACAAAGTTGGCAATTGCGCCCGGAGAAAGGCGGACACTTGTCCTGGTAGACTTTTCGGACTCTTGCTCGACCATAGGCCCAACCCCTCTGGATTCACGGACTCTCATTTGGTGCTCTTTTTCAGGGCGACCAGGTGACCACTACGACTGCAGCAACACGATCCCCCCTATATTGGTCTCTACGCTACGACATGTCACACATCTACTGACCATTCCTTTACACCCTTTGGAAGATCTCGTACTATAAGAAACATTCCCTTACTTTTCCACTCTTTTCTGTACTCTATCCATATTTTTAGATGCATTACCTCTCTAGGAAGGATTCTAAAAAACTGGTGGTAGAAAAGCTTTGATCAGTTTTTCATATACAATAAAAGTTCGGTCTCAACTGGGACTTGTCGAGTAGCTAGACATGCCTTTCCTCCTCGCTCCCATCTGTTCGCGAGGGTGACCCGCATTTCCGACCCAGATGTTTTCTATTTTCTTTTTTTCTTGATATAAAACACAAGACCGGAAACTTCAAAGGTCCCACCCTAGTCTGTTGATACAATCGACTCCATTTAAGTTCAATATTTTGCATATTAACGCACCGTTATGGCAATTTCTGTATCTATCTGTATAAGTGTTTTCATTTTTTTTCACGCTTGCCTTCCTTCCTGCAGATTCGACCCGATCCGAAAGATGCTCACTATCACTCGATTCCCCCCACGCATATTTGCCCTTATTATTATGAGCTTATTCGTCACTAGTCCCCGTTCGCGATCTTAGCCGTTAGTCATATGAAACCGATCGGTTTTGTTAATCTCTTTTTGGGTAAAGTAAAATCGAGAATGGTATTCGGAATAAAAGATAGCTTTAGCTGCGGTTTGTTATCGTTGAAACATGACAATTTCTACAAAAATCTGGAAAAGAAATATAGCTTTATTACGTGCAGCTTTAAAACCATTTATTTATTAGATATTTATAGCTTTATAACACGCAAAATGTTTGAACAGTCCAGCCTGGGTAGTTTAGTCTAGTTTGATTTACGTTGGACTATTGTGAAAACCGTAATTTTTGCAAGAATTTCAGATGGCAGAAGAGGAATGTAGCTTTATTAGCGGTCGGCTATGGCTAAAATCTCAAATCTGCACATTTCAAAAGTTGATGGCGAAATTACAAAAAAATCGGTTTTAGCACAGATGTTACAACAGGTGTGTTTTCTCTCCCGCAATCTACGTATCAACTCACCCGAACTGTTGACCCACGCCCTAAAAAACGGATATACTCGTGGGAAAGGAGGGTTGGTTGTGACGCGTTTTGGTACTCGAAACCCCCCCGGTGGAGTCGCCGAGTCTTTCTGATCAGCCCCTACCTCTCAAACATGAACTATTGTTTCGTGCGCATCGCGAACGGGGGTGGGGGCAACAAGTAAACAATGAGTAAAAAAATACACCCCCGAACGCCTACGCTATAAATTTGATGAATAGGGGGGTGGAGAGGATTCTTAGGGAACCTCTACTTTCCCAACGGGTCAACCTTTCTGCCCGCCCGTGGCTAATCAAAACCCTCTTAAAGCTTTTTCATATTTTATATCCGCTTCCACCCGTCAGCACCTGGCATTTGGCCGCGTGCACAGGCTCTGAGTTTCCGATAAAAGTCTCGCCACACCCCGAGCCGTTCCTGAGCGTGTGCTTTAGATCTTCACGCTTTTTGGTAGCTTCCTAAAAAACTCCTAAAACAGTCGCTCCCTGAATATAGCCATTCTGGAAAATCTAAAAATAAGGGTTCGTGATCAACCTCGAAATTCGGCACAAGATGGGTTTTCCCATTTCGAGGTACCACCTTCGCTGGCGCCTCTTCCTTGTTATCAGGTTGGTAGATAAGTCCTGTCACAATTTTTTGAAAGCGCTCTAGAAAGCCGCAGTAACGTCGGATTTTCACTTTCGATACATGATTTGATAGAGCTTGGGACGCGCTACTTGGGCAAAACCTGATTTGGTCCCCAAAGTGGCTCGCCGCCGAGTTACAGCTCCGGGAAGTTTTTCATAAAATCTTGAAAAAGCTTTTTAGCGTGATATCTCTGCATAGAGAAATTTGCATGCGATACCTTCAACACCAATCGATAGCTCTCGAGGAGTAGATATCGATAGATGTTGAGATCATCAAAATCGGATACCGGATGGCCGAGATACGGTCCCTTCAAATTTGGTCCATTTCTTAGAACTTTTCCGAATTCCCATACATTTAGACAAAACCTTTTCCGGGCGCTCAAAAATCAACCGGCAAAATTTGTCACAGATGCGTAAAATGTATGGGATTTCGGGAAAAGTTCTAAGACATCAACCAAATTTCAAGGACCAGTATCTCGGCCATCCGGTGTCCAATTTTGACGATCTCAACATCTATCGATATCTACTCCTGGAGAGCTATCGATTGGTGTTGAAGGTATCGCATGCAAATTTCTCTATGCAGAGATATCACGCTAAAAAGCTTTTTCAAGATTTTAGTAAAAACTTCCCGGTGTTTTAACTCGGCGTCCCGTAACTTTTCGGCCTCGTGCGGCAGCTCCCATTATAGAGCAGCCCAAGATCCATCAAATCAGGTATCAAACGTTAAAATCGGCCATGTCTGCGGCTATATAGAGAAATTTTTAAAAATTGTGACAGGACTTATCTACCAACCTGATAGTATCTTTTTTCGACGAGACTTTACCCTTACCCCCAGCCCGGGGTCCCAAAAATTGAAAAAAAATTTCGCTATGGTGTCCGGATTCTCCCTCGGCCATTCGATAGAACATTAAAAAATACGTAAATAAAATATATGAAATATGTATGTAAATTATGTAAAATAAAGTTATAGCGGAAAATATGCGCACCCTCTTTTTCCTACCTTTCATACATCCCAAAAACACCCGCAACATCCCCCCTTGTGTCCAACACCCAATAAACCTGCCGCCTTATGTGTTGCCCAAACAATGACAACATTTCCGCCCCGTCTGA